ATTCGCGGGCTGCTTCAGTGGCGCCAATTACTGCTACGGAATCTTCATCCGGCGAGGTGGCGGGGTATAGAAGATTCTCGGCGAAGTTCAAAATGCTGCCTTCGAAGAATGAAGGTCTAGGAAATAGCACATCTTTTGAACCAAGGACCTATTTAGATCGGATCAGATATCCCATGTTCAAGATAATGCATCTAGGTCCGAGTGGGAATGAATTACTCACCTGTTGGCATGGATTGTGAGCGTTGATTTTCGTATAGTGCCAGATTTCTTCCCAGAATTGGGCTGGATCCGAGACACTCCATTTCCAGAGAGCGTTGTAGTCATTCAATGATAAGCCATACTTTTTGTTTACTTTGGTCATGAAATCATAGATCTGGGTTGTATCAGGAGAAGAAGGCCGCCAAAGCTCCTTGGCCTCCGGCTCAAGGATTTCGATATGAGGCATAGCTGATGATATGGCAATGGCGTACACGAATTCGGAAGGCCGAGTAGTATATAGACCGTAGGCTGTAGACTGATATTGAACAAATTCAATTGTCCACTAGAACCCAAGACAATGTGGCAATAGACTTCCCAACAGGGCTTCACAGCAAGGGTCAAAGCTTGAACCGGTCAAGAGCGAGTGACACAATACCTAAGTATGCAACTCCCCAAGGGGCAATGGCGGTGCGGGAGTGATCGGGTATTGAGTTGCCGATTCCCGCGGCTACGGGGAAGATAATTTCTCATATAAAATCCCCCCGTTCTCTGATATATGCATATAACTATTTAACTAGTTATGTTAGTTATTGTATGGAGTTACAGTGGATGTCACATTGGATCAAACGTGACATTTTCTGCCTCAGGCACTTTACCGTTTTCATCTTGGAAAACCTTAGATACCTTTCATGTCACATATCGTGATGTGTAGGTGTCACAGATCTTGAAAATCGACATGTTGACTTATTTGGGTCCAAAGGGGTTTGAATCGGATATACCGGATGAGCATGACATGTCCCTTTTTTTTGTATTTTTTGTATTTTTTGGCTATTACTAGCACAATATAGATGCCTAGTTACAAGATAGGGTGTCAGATTCTATACAATTGAGGATGCACATCTACAACATAAGTATGTTGTAACTAGTATGTACGAATACGACTGGTCTGTTGAAGAGGGTTTTGTGGATTTGGGCCTTTTCGGGTCCGAGAGATTTTTAGTGCGAAAAAAAAAAAAAAGCCTTTTTTAGGTATTGAAGTGGTAATAATACACTCCTTGTTTAAAAAACAGATAAAACATCAGCCAATCAGACAGAGTTATCATTGTACTGCAGATGTTTTTAATTAATACTTTAAATTACCAGGAGGTCACTGCATAATGGGGGGTTCGGACGCAGCTTAGAGGAAACACGGAGGTCCCTCTTATTTACCTTTCTCAGACTCTCCTTCTTCTTCAACTTTGTACTCGTTTTCCGTGCTTCATTATTTTTGTTCATAGTGCAACGGAGATTGGTCCGTTCGTCATCTGAACGTAGGGCTCTTTGCCCCTTCGTGTTTCTTGCCCCCCCCATTCCACGTGCACGCGATCTTTTAAGCCCTTAACGGAGTATTCGGCTCCCGCTTCAAATCAACCTTGCCGGTACGTCTCAATCTCTGTGAAACTTCTGAGCTAGCAGATTCCCGAATCTGGGTTTATTTTGGGAATGGAGCATGATTCAGGGGTGTTGCATTGATGCCTAGTCCAGAACGATCAACTAATTGGTTGCGCTTTCCAGATTGAACACATTGCCTGAGGTTGCTATTGACTCCGCCGAAGACCCGTTGAAGTCCCCAAGCACACAGCCCACTTACCACCTACCACTTAAACACGTCAACTCTCAATTACCTCCCGATAGTCCCTGCCTTACAAATCGTCAATTCGGAAACGGCCAATTCAAAAGCGCCCCTCGATCCTGACGTGAAAAGAGAAACCAAATCCCGTGCCGAAACCTTAACGCTGTTTCCTCCTGCGATGCCTCGTCGATTTAGCAGCAACTCTTCCAACGACACCTCTACCAACCCGCCGTCCTTTTCACCTTCTTCGGGAAAGGGCGGTATCTCCATCAAGGCCCCCACCGTCAAGTCCAATCGCCTCTCTCAGTTATTTTCGGCCTCACCAAAGTCAAAGACGGAAACTGTACAGAGTGGACATTCTCAACCTAGTAATTCTTCCCCGCCGATAAGTTTGGCATCACTGTCCCTACCGACGATCTCTCTATCAACAGCCACCGCGGATAATCCCAATATGGACGAGCTGCCAACAACACTCTTCCAGCCTCCGACCCCTGAGGAGGCTCGTCGGTTGTCCAAGCAACATGCCCAATTTGGTCCGATCGGTCATCCTAGCCACCGATACTCCAGTCGACACCCCGGTGGTGTCTTCCCAGAGCCGGTGATGGACGAGCCGCCGTATTATTACCTGCTCACCACCTATATCAGTTACCTAATCCTAATCGCTTTTGGACATGTCCGTGATTTCTTTGGCAAGCGATTCCGCGAGGAACACTACCGTCATCTCAAGCCTCGCAATGGCTATGGCGCTCTCAACAGCGATTTCGACAACTTCTACGTGCGTCGTTTGAAATTACGTATCAACGACTGCTTCGAGCGCCCCGTGACCGGTGTTCCTGGCCGCACCATCACTCTTATCGATCGCGGCACGGATGACCACAACCAGCACTTTTTCCTGACGGGTACCACTACTGATACCCTGAATTTGAGCTCGTACAACTACCTGGGTTTCGCTCAATCGGATGGCCCTTGTGCCGATATTGCGGAAGAATGCATCAAGAAGTATGGCATTTCAGCACCCAGCACACGAGCGGAGTCCGGCACACAGGATCTGCATGTCGAAGTAGAGGATTTGATTGCCAACTTTGTAGGCAAAGAATCGTCTATGGTCTTCTCCATGGGCTTTGGCACCAACGCAACTGTCTTCCCCGCCTTGGTCTCAAAGGGATGTCTTTTGATCTCCGATGAACTGAACCACGCCTCGATCCGTTTCGGCGCTCGTCTCTCTGGCGCCTCCATTGCTATGTTTAAGCACAATGATATGAAGGACTTGGAGTTGAGACTTCGAGAGGCGATCTCTCAGGGACAACCCCGCACTCACCGTCCCTGGAAGAAGATTCTGGTCGTGGTCGAGGGACTCTACTCTATGGAAGGTTCCATGTGTAACCTTCCTGGTCTGGTGCAGTTGAAGCGCCGGTACAAGTTCAACCTGTTCGTCGATGAGGCCCACTCCATTGGAGCCATTGGTCCCAAGGGACGTGGTGTTTGTGATTACTTCAGTATTGATACTTCCGAGGTGGATATCCTGATGGGCACACTTACAAAGTCATTCGGTGCCAACGGTGGCTACATTGCGGCAGACAAGGTGATGATCGACCAACTTCGTGCCACCAACCCCGGTGTCTACTTCGGCGAGTCTCCCGCACCTGCAGTGCTTTCCCAGATTTCTTCCGCTCTGCGCATCATCAGTGGTGAATTCGTTCCCGGCCAGGGTGAGGAGCGATTGCAGCGATTGGCTTTCAACTCGCGGTACCTCCGTCTCGGTTTGAAGCGTCTTGGCTTTATAGTGTATGGTCACGACGATTCACCAATCGTTCCACTCCTTCTCTTTAACCCGGCCAAGATGCCTGCATTCTCGCATGAGATGCTCCGGCGAAAGATCTCTGTCGTTGTTGTCGGTTACCCGGCCACTCCGCTGGTGTCGTCTCGTGCTCGTTTCTGTGTCTCTGCTGCCCACACCAAGGATGATCTGGACCGTGTGCTGACCGCTTGCGATGAAATTGGCAACGTCCTCCAGTTGAAATTCTCCACTGGCATCGCCGGTGGTGCACTGCCTGCTGCCGAACAGCCAGCTCCTCCACCAGAGATGGAGAAGGAATGGCATCGCAAGCGCTCGGACAATCTCTCCCCTCCCCGCTGGCGCGTCGAGGATGTCATCCGACGCGGAGTCCAGGATGTCAAGAATCCCTTGTTCTAGTACTAGATTGGCTTCTTTCTCCTACCGGTAGATATGACGTTGTCTTGAGTTCATTGGACTTTGAGATGAGTCTTCGGTCGGGGGGTTTTGTTCCTCAAGCACGGTTGTTGCTGGTCACACTGTGTCGGGGTCTTGATTCCATGTGCCTCTTTTGATCCTTGTTCTGAGTTTCTATGATTCTTGTGGTCTTTCGTTGGACTTTGGTCCTAAAGGAGATACATAAAAGCCAAGCGAACTCACTCAGACTGGAGAGAAAAAGGGGAACTCGGGAAAAAAAAAACCAAAAGAAACCAAAACGGTCATGAGTTATTCAAACAAGCAACGAATGAATATGCCCCGTTCCCTATGATCGTTCTATACTTGCTTCCTGTTTGCATCCATACAGTATTTCATGTTACTTTCTTTGTTACTGTTCTTATTCTTCTCAAGATATTGCCTAATACTGTTTCACCCATTCAATGCTCTCAATTCTCGCTGTATCTATCCGGCACAACCCTGCCAATAGACATCGAAACTTCAGATGCTCAATGGGAAGCTTGCTCCGATGTACAATATGTATCATTCCGCAGGGCAAAGGCTGGCTCCTTTTCGATTCTTTTTCCTGTTTTTTCTTTTTTTTTTTTCTTTTTTGGCTTCTATTCTATATTTCTGCCTGTGATCAACCTATTTCCCTCGTTGCAGCCCACCAAGAAGTTGATGGTTTTCGTTTCAACTCCTAGGGTCTCGAGGTGTTTGGCATAGGACTTGATCATTGGATTTGCGTGATGAGTATGGATATGGATATGGATTGGAAATGGGACCACTGACTGGCTATGACTATTTCCTCACAATATCTTTGCAAAATACATTATCTCCCTGCCCTTGGGAGCGTGACCAGTTATAAAATAGAAAAATAGGCTAGAGTAGAGGAAAGCAAGCGAACAAGCAAAGTGGATAAAGAACATAGGATAAAGATACATAGCCATTTGATATTCCATATCTGTGTTGCGACTTCGATCAGTGATTGTACCGGGATATCGGCGTCAGTTTCTGGCGGAACAGGCGCACGGCGGAGTAGTTCTTCGCAAGATACATGCAAAGGTTCGGCCGGCACACAAGTGACTGGCATTGTTGAGCCACCGGGAGGACGCGAAACCTGAACTTTTTGGCGTGTAACTGGCTGAAATCGGGGCCGGCCATTGCACAGAGTTATGATCGGTTGCGAATTGATGATACTCTCGAAAGTGAGCTTCGCTCGTTCTTGGTCAACAACAATCAGAATCACGACTTTCACCGTCCCCTGGGAATTGGCAAGCCACCAGCTAGCGTCAAGATGGAGTCTTCGCGGTGATTCAGAGTATGCAACTTCCACGACAACAGAAGGCCATGTATTATCGGTTGGAGGAGTTGATGGGATTCATGAGCCATCTGGTTCTTTGTAGCACATATTCCCTTCCACGCGACCCGAGCCCGTTGGATAGGCCCTACCTTTCAAATTTGCCTGAACTATGGCCGTTTGGAACTCAAAGGCAAACTGTGCAGCTGCCGAATCATGAATTCGCCCGGGGATCGTAATGATTAAAATTCGCGACGCCTCGTCGTACGACTGGCGGCATTTGGATATGTAATTTAAAGCAATTTTTGGCGGAACATTACTGAACTTCAAATACTGGGTGTCATGCTTAGAGACAGAAGAAGCCCTTTATTATAATACGTATAATATAGGATTCACTATATAGGTATAGGGACTTCTAAAGTGAATTGAATCTGAAGTGAATGTGAACTGAATCTGAATTGAATTTGAAGAGAATTGGTAGATCTATTAGCCGCTAGTTTAGGGGTGAATCTTTATAGAGTAGACTATTGTATAGTATAGTTAACTAATATTACAATCTACCTCTAGACTAGCGAGTTACAAACTAGGCCAAAAGACCGTTATATCTAAGTATTACGCTTAGATTGTCTAGGCTCTGATATATATATAGTATATGATATGATACTAACTATCACTATATTTTCTTTACTTCTATTACTTATCCCCCTCCTACTTTCTTCTTTCCTACCCTCCTCGCCTCCTAAAGGTACCGTTGACTATACGGAGTCTCTCCACTCGTATACTTTCAATGCTCTCAAAATGTTCGATCCTGAACTCCAAAGGATCGACAATGACCGTTTCAATCTTCCATACGATATCGATCTCATCGGCTCCTCGGTTGCGGGATCGATCCTTCATATGAGTGACTTACGTCGAGTACTACAAAACAGATCCCAAGTGACCATCTTCACCACTTCTTGCTACTCCGGCGGCTGGCTAGTGCTCCCCGACATAAATCGTCAGCAGCTCAACGCAACAGCGAAAAGTCATTACGCAGAAGTATGAAGATACTAGCCATGTGTCGATATCAGCTCGCTAGCTGACATGGGACCAAAGACCGACATCCTCAACGTATGACCCAGTTTCCCCTATGTTGATATCGGAGCTTCTTGCTAATCGTTCCAATGTATTCCTTTAGATTTCCAATTTTCCATTCAGGTATGACTTGATACGATCCTTGATCATCTATGAACAATGAAGCGCCAAAGTGAAGAATATATTCATACTACACACTATACAAAGCTACAAATTCGAGTCTACACTCTCACTATGGACTATAAGGACCAACTCTGAAAAGAACATCTGATGCGAGCCTAGGAAGAGAACACATTGCCCCAATTAATATGATTGACTTGGATTTATGTCGCTAACTTTTCCAATTATCTATATAGGTCCGCTCCCCGATTCGATCTATTTAGGGAGTTGCTTTAGCAATATCCACGAATAGAGAAAGCAAACCTACCTGATACGAGGAGCCCGAGGCTTATAGAGGTACGTCTTCAATATGCTGGATCATGACATGATCGAACGAAGCGCATATTAGATGGTCGAGACAAAAGGAGAGGTAAATTTTCTATTCCTCTAACCATTGATTATACTATGATCATTGACTATGACCTTTTAGAAGAAACACCGTACCTAGACTCAGTCGTGATCGAGACAAATAAAGGCAAATTTTACCTACAATCATTATTTTCTTTTGAGAAATGTTAATCCACTCCTAAGTGAAGGAAGTAAGATCCGATGTTATATACAATAATACTCCTAGGCATACTACTAAAGAGACTCTTGATTTCTTTTAAGGAGCTTAGGGTTATTATAATAGAATAGCCTACGTTTTTACCTGATTTAAACCTTATTAAGGAGGTATAGAACTAGATAGAGGATTATATTAAGAGAAAGTATAGGGATCAACACTTTCCTTTATAGTGTAGTTGGTATAGTCTAGGAGGCCTAGGATGCTATACCGGAGGAATTCCTATCTAATCTGATTGATAGTATACTATTGAGGTGCTAGGTAGTGATTGCTGCTAATGGGAGACCTACTATATACTAACATAGTAATATAGTAAAGAAGTTGAGAGTACCTGTTTTTTTAAAAATTAATGTAGTATTCAGGTGTAAGAGTACCATATAAGATACTAAAAATGAGTGGAGGTGGTGAATCTTTATAAGGTAGGCTGTTGTAGTGTTCCCCATACAATTTTGGACTAGCAGATATGCCCGCCCAAAATTGATGAGATTGGGCAATTTGTATGGGTAGGAATAGTTTCATACAGCAAAGCCATTGGTAAAGTAAAACTACAATATCCAAGTCTATCTAGTCCGGTCAATGTGAATGGTATTCATATCATGCTGAGCTTTTACGCTTTTATATCAGGCGGCTGGGTCACGCCAGGATCAAAACAAAAAGAAAAGAAAAGCAAGGCGGGATTATTTCACAAGATGGGGGAGATCCCTGCTATGAAGAAGATCCTGAAAAGAAGAGAACAGGGAAGTGAAGATCTAGATACGACAAAAAAAAAAAAAAAAAGACAAGACGCAAAGCAAACGCCTGTCGGCAAAAACAGAGGGATATCATTTAAGATTCAAAGAATCCAGACATGTCGCAAAACAACAATTTGAAGAGGATAAATTGAATGGGGAAGAAAGGAAAAACAAAAAAGCAAAACCATAAGACTCGTATACTCGATAAGTCGTCAGGGAGAAACCATTCCCTCCACCAAAATGTAAAATATCTCGCCAGGGCCCATTCACTCGTCTTTCAGGCTTCCAACCAAATTACGTAGTACGTCCATGATGACGGCTTCGTCCTTTGGCTCGCCGCCTGGGAAGGAGCTTTCTGACGCATCGCCCAACACGCGTGCACGCGCACTCCGGAGAACTTCCCGGATGTAATTCTTGTCCTCGTAGTCTTCCATGAGAACAGCTTCAAAGTCATCGATAGCCTTGTTGGCTCGGTCAATGAACGAGGATGACTCTGGTGGCCCTGGTGCAGAGTTTTGCTGAACAGGGTGTTGCTGTTGTTGATGGTGAGAATGAGCCGGGAGGCCTGGAGGGGGATTGTGCTGGTGCTGATGCTGGTGTTGGTGTTGATGCTGTGGCTGGTGCTGGTGGTGAGGTAGCGGATGTTGCTGCTGAGGAGGATGCGACATCGGCTGCGACTGGGGTTGGACCGGTGGCTGGTGTTGGTGCTGATGCTGATGCTGGTGTTGGAACTGCACTCCACCAGATGGAGGGTAGGCCCGAGGCTGCGGGTTGTTGTGAGGAGGTTGAGAGGATGGCGGCTTTTGTTGTGGGTAAGGGGAATGGTGCTGAGGTGGTCCGTGAGGAGGTCGTGGGGTCTGCAACTGTTGCTGCTGGCCACCTTGCGGAGCAGGGGCGGATGCGTAGGGTGAAGTATATGTTGAAGGGATGGTTGCCGCAAATGCAGCTGGGAGGTTGTTGCGGAGTTGACTGGGGATGGGGAAGGATGCAGCTGGATTGATAGGTGGGACTGGTGTTGGCGCTGGCGCTGCTGCCGGTGTCGGTGCCGACACCGGTGCCGACGGTACTGGCGCGGGTGCCTGCATAGGTGCGGGAGCGGGAGCGGGTGCAGGTGCAGGCGCACGCATAGGAGCCGGAGTAGGTGCCGGCGCTGGCGACGGGGTAGGAGCAGAGACAGGGGCAGGTGTGGGCGCCGGCGGGGGCGCCGGTGCCGGTGTCGCAACCTGGGGCGGGGGTGGAGCAGGAGCAGGAGCAGGAGCTTGAACCGGCGGAGCAGCAGCAGGAGGGGCACTGGGTGTAGGAACAGGGGCCTTCGATGGAGGTGGATAGGGACTGGATTGGGGTGGATGTCCTCCCACATTAACAGACGCCGGGAAAGGAGCAGGCGGTATGGAAGGGAATTGGAAATGCTGTGGCGGGTTTGGCACCGGTGGTGGACCCTGAGGTGGTGCATACGAGTGGGACATCTGAGGCATATACTGCTGGGGAGCAGGCGGAGGAGGGTGGGAAACCTGCGGGGGCGGCGAAGGACGACGTTTCTTTTCCTTTTCAACCGACGCGCCGGGAATGAGCTGCCACGACCAACCCTTACCATCTCGTTCTGCGTGCATAAACAAGTGACCGTTGCCGTTCAGGTTGTGTCGTACACTAGATGTCCAGCCCTCAGTCTCACACTTGAAGCGGAAGTACGGATACTTCAATTTCAGCGCACGGTAGATCTGTTTCAACGTCATTGGCGTGCCAGCTTCCGTCAGAGCATCAAAGATGAGAACGGCGTAGTTGTACGGCGGCTTTGCCAGATCCTCGGCGTTGTAAGCAGACTCTGGAGGATAGTTGGGAGATGGTGACCGTGATGGTTTGCGCTTCTTGACCGGTGGGGGCTTAACGTATTCTTGCGGGGGCTCTGCAGACATCTGGCCGCCTTCCGTTGAAGGAAGGGGAGAATCCATTGGTGTGCCATCCGGCTTCTTTCTCTTGGTGTACTTCCGCTTCTCGGATGGTTTGTTTGTTGGTGACTCGGGAACAACAGATTCTTTGGCAACTGTCTTCCCGGCCTTAGGCACTTTGAGTGGAGGTGGTGTGATGCCTCCGTTGGCCTCACGCTTGGCAGCAATTTTCTGCTCCCGGGCAAGCTCAGCTCGCTCGCGCTTGGACATGATCCCATCCTTGGGAGGGCGTCCTGGTCCCCGGCGGCGGGCCGGCTGTGAATCGTTATCTCCAGGCTCGATAGAATCCATTGCTTGAGATGATTTGGAATCCTTTGTCTTGAGGATGATTTTCTTGGAAGGCTCCCTGCTCTCGCCGCTGTCACTCCCAAGCCTCTCGGATTCATCGACGTCGTCGTCCATTTCTATTGAAGCACGGGCATCTTTTTCTTCCTCCTCGTCGTTCTTTTCTGCCATTTTCTCTTCCATCCGGTCCGCTCCAGTTTCGCCAATGGGGACATCTGGTAGCAAAAAGCGGATACGCACGCCTCCAATTTGGATGTAGTCGCCGCTGTGTAACGGGCGAACTTGTCCTGGTGATAGCCAGTCAGCCCCAATGAACGCTCCATTGCGTCCCATTACTTCCATCTCAAACAAGTTACGATCAAAATTGTATGAGATCCGGACATGTCTCCGAGAAATCCCTCGATGGCCTGCGGCACTGCCGTCAACGGTCGTTGGGGGTGAATTGGGATGGTAGGACAAGAATCAGGGGATGGGAGCAAAGCCAGTGCATCAACAGGCTTTGCATCTCCGTTTCCATCTTGCAAAGATTGCATCGCGAGCGCGTTGTAGTCGGTTGTCGATTGTAGCTGAGCCGGGTTTGCATGTAATGGTACAACAGCGTCGTCAAAGGAGGATTTCGAGGATCGTCGGCTCATGTTCATGTTGTTCGGAAGATGCGGGGGTACATCTGGATCAAAGCCCATAATACCTCCCCGATCACTAACAACACTGCCCATGATGGCAGCGCTTTCCTCCCGCTTCATACGGTTCGGGGTGTGGGATGTGTTTCCTCCACTTGAACTCTTCGCCCGAGTGCTTCGCACGGCCTGCCGGTATTGGAACTCTCGGTGATGGGCGGCGCGGGCGGCGCGCACGTCTCGTCCTAGGATGAATGAGTAGGTATTGACGTAAAAATGCCCATCATCGAACTCCAACTTGGCAAACGCTTGGATCTTAGGTTCCGATCCAGCAATTGAGGCCGCCACATCTTGATATCCCAAGGCTGAGAGATCTGCGTTTTGCGAAAGAAAGGCGGCTGTGAGTAGCTCGTTTTGGTGGAGAGCTTCAAACGCATTTTTCGGGGCAGCCGAGAAGTCCAAGGGTGGAAGGAGCGAGGGCTGGTCGGTGCTCAATTTCGGGTTCATGGGATCGGACAAGGTACCCATGGCTTCGGAATTGAATCCTGCATGGTCCATATCCTGTTGTACAGAATTTGTTCCCATAAGCTCGTCACCTAAAGCTTTCCCATTCAGCAAGTCCTGGATCTCGCGAGATATTGAAGCAGTGTCTCGGTGCAAGCTCGGGTCGACGGGCGCAGAGCTCTGGGCAGCCATGTCGAATGACTGGGAGATTGAGTCGTCCATCTTGATATCCATGTGAATATCCTGGTCCTCATCCTGTTGTGCAGGTTGTATCGTGGTGGGTGTCGAGTTCGCGGCTGGTTGATTTCCAAGAAGCTGCGCTAGGAGCGCACTCGCGGCGTTTTGCGTGTTTGCATCTTGTTGATGTTGCGCGGCTGAAAATTCGTGGCTGTCCGGGCATTCGGTTTTGATTGCGACGTCCGGGGCGGGCATCCCGTTAGGAGTTGACGGGGCAGAATTATTCTGCATGGCGCGGATTGCGGAGTCGTCTCGAGGATTGGAAGGGGAGTCGCTGTCTGGTGAGCAGCCATAGTCGTACAGGGGGCTATCGGGGCCTGGGTCAGGCGGTCGATGGCCCACGGCTGGCGCAGTCATGGTCTGCGACGACATGACAGGCTGGTGCTGAGGAAGGGAGAGGAATGAAGTTCCAACCAGAAGGGAAGTTCTCAACTTGGGACCGGGCGGTGAGCGATGGCCGAGTTGGTCGCTGCAGATGGCCGTAGTCACCGCTGAGCCATGTTTTTTTTTTTTTTCTTTTTTCTTTAGTTCACAATATTGTTGACTTGACAGAAATTCACCCAAAAAGAATATCCAATATTATGTATGAATCTGGAAAGGTTTATGGTTGCAGAGATGAAAGAAAAGCACCGATAATCCTCTTCCGGGACAAATTTTCTTTCCCGCCCCGCCCAAATCCATATTCTCTCCGACCTGATCCACCTACATGGACTCTGCCCGCAGCTGGTTCCTCACCGATTTTGTTGATCAAAAAGCCTAGATCTATATATTGGAGTGTGAAAATGGATGAATCTATGCAATTGACCTCTTTTTACTCCTCTAATCTCACATTGACTCATTGTCTACATGTAGAGTGGAGTCGACCCCTCTGATATTCGGTGGCTTGCCTCCCGTTGAGATGAGGGGAAACTGTGATGATTGTAGTATGTACTTTACAACATAGGTGACTACAATTTCTATCAAGGCTGTATGTAAGGGGTGTATACTTTGTATACTACATATTCTGGGGAAGCGGAGTACACATATAAAAAATCAATTAACCTTGGGTTGTTTATACCTGGGAATCATCTTATCGCGATAAAAGCCTTGGACCTAACACTCTACTTCTCTTCTACTTCTACTCTCTATCTTTATAACCTATCTTATATATTCACCTTTACCTACCAAAACAAGAACAAAATGGCCCCGAAATTCAAAAAACCCGATCCAAAGCCTCAACCAAAAACCACAACCCCAAACTGGCCTCCTCTCCGTCCCCTCCTCCCCGCCGCCGATCTAACCCTGACCCCCCTCCTCACCGACCAAATCTACCTAATCCACAACTTCCTTCCAGGCACCCTCTGCAAAACCTACGCCTCATTCCTCGCCTCACTACCACTAACCACAACACCGGGAACCCCAAAGAAAGACGAGGCATTACGCGTCAACGACCGGTTCCAGATCGACGACGCACGGTTTGCAGAGATGCTATGGAGCACGACGGCATTGAAGGAGCTTGTCACGACGCGCTTTGAAGAAGATGAGTACGGGTACGACCAGAATGCCGAGGAAGATGATAATGCGCTTGCTGAACGCGCACGTCAACTCTGGGGCGGGGAGCCGTTGGGGTTGAATCCTAATATTCGCATTTATCGATACTCTGCAGGACAGTTTTTCGGACAACATTGTAAGGATCTCTTCGTCTTCGCATTATACAATCACTTCTATACAACCAAGCAAGCCAAAAGGCCAAAATCTAATACATCGCAATCAATCGCAGACGACGATGCCAATAACATAACCTTCCCCGCACTGAACTCGCGCTCAAAAGCAACACCCGCACGCACAACCTGGACTCTACTGGTCTACCTGACATCCTGCACAGGTGGTGAAACAATATTCTACCCGGAGCCCACGCGCGCGAATCGCAATCCGGAGCCGATAGCGGTTGCGCCAGAGGCTGGGATGGCGCTGTTGCACCGACATGGAGATAATTGTATGATACATGAGGGGGCTGAGGTTACCGGGGGAGAAAAGTGGGTTTTGAGGAGTGACTTGGTTGTTCCGAGGTGATATACTGGTGTCGATATTGCATTTGGGAGTTCCAAGCTTGTAGATTGGCATGGGGACCATATCATAATCGTAGTAGGCGGGTTCCTATGCGACTTCGACTTGGAATCCTTGGGGGTGTGGGTATATAGACATTGCATACGGGAATTCTGGGAAATCAAACACAAGTTCTAATCATTCTGCTGGATCATACCTAAGTATTGGAGGGTACAATTGGAGTGGATAACATAGTAGCAAAAGGAAAATAGTATGAACAAGGACGACAGTAGGTCCCTGTCACAGACGGCACGCATAAGAGAAACAGTTGTAGATACAAGTCAAATAGTCGTAAAGAGTGGAAAGTTTGCTGGGGGCGAGGAGATGGGACACAAATAATGAACATGGGAAAAGAAAAGGGGGATAGATCATCAGTTATTGGGATAGCAGGTGAGTGACAGGTGACAAGACAGCTGGACCTCGCCAATGAGGAGTTCTAATTTCCTGGCTCAAAAAACCCCCAAGATTCAATTTCATTGTAATCATATCAAATTGGTTTGGAAACAGGAGACGTTTCCCCATCCAGTTCATACTCAGCCCCTCTCATCATCCCCTCCACAGGACCGAGAAGACGCTTGAATCCATCCCGACCCAATCGCGCCACCTTCACATCCGTCTTGGTGGCAATGCTTGCTTGACGTGGCTTGTCGTCCAGCAAAGCAAGCTCGCCGAAGTAATCGCCTCGGCGATAGTTCTTGACGGGGCCAGAGACACCGTTCTTGGTAGCCTCGGCTTCACCTGACTCCAAAAGATAGAAAGCATCTCCGGGATCGCCTTCGTGGATGATGATGGAATTAGCCGGGTACTTGATGGTGTCCAGAGCATCGGCGATCTTCGAGCGCTCGTATGACTTCAGAGAAGAAAGCAGCGGAACTTCCTCCAGGAAAGCCTCATACATACGACGGCGTTGGAATGCCGAGTCCATTAGAATGCGGCGGAAGGTGATGCGGTCAAGAGCCCACAATGTGCTCTTTGGCTCGGTGGAGATCACCGTCGCGGCACGTGGGGCATTGTACATCAGAGCCAACTCGCCAAAAGATCCTCCGGGTCCAGTGCTGGCAACCTTATTGCCCAAGCCATCAGGGCCAGGCTGTACGGCGCCGGAGGGGTGGATGTAGACGTCAAAGTATCCCTTCTCCACGATGTAGAAGTAATCACCGGCATCACCTTGGGAAATGACCTTGATGTCTTTCGCAGGGATGGGCTTCTCAACGAGAGCATTGAGGACGGTCAAGAATTGGTCATCGTCGAGGTGGGAGAAGAGGAAGTTGCTACTGACGGCGCTCTTAAGCCGGGAGACCTGCTCTTCGGTCTTTTGGTGGTAAGGAGGGGACCAGCTATCCGAACCAGCTTCGGTGGGATTTAAAGATTCCGCTGAGACAGAGGTTCGCCGACCAAGAGCGTAGTTGCTAGGGAATCCTTGCTGTGCGGATCGTTCCGGGAGAGGGGCCAGCTCCCCCTCCTGCTCGTCCTCCTCCCCCTCATTCTTCTGGAAGGGACTCCGGCTGAACAACGATCTTCCCGCTTGTAATCCTCCCTCGGCGAATGCAGTACCTCCAAACAAAGCGGTGCCCGGCGGTGCAGCATTTGAGCTGGACTGTCGAAAAGTCAAGTTGGTTGGTGACGTCACCTCGAACTCGTCGTCCTCGGAAATTTTTGGGGTGCTAGCAGATTTGTCGCCGGCTCTGGTGTTGATGACCGGGGTCAAATCCGGAGCAGAATTCTGTGCCATGAGGGCGTTGGGGGGGTTGAGGGCCGAGGAGGCCGCAACTCCGGGGTTGAAGGTGAGATGGATGTGGGACGAAGCAAGAGATAATATCTGTGGATATTAGAAAAGGAATTAATTAGAGAGATTGAATGGGAAAAGGAAAAATGTAAAAATGTAGAAAATGTAGAAATTGTAAGGGAAAAAAAAAGGTAAAGAGGTAGAAGAGGTAGAAAAGGTAGAGAGAGAGTAATATGGAAGCAACGGAGGGGCAGACAGTGGGGGATTATTGGTTGGAGTCTAATTTGTAGGCATCCTGCATGACCTCGTCTCTGTCTCTCTCTCTCTCTCTCTTTTTCTTTTCTTTTTTCTTTTCTTTTTTCTTTTCTTTCTTTCTTTCTTTCTTTTCTTTCTTCTCCATGTCTCGGAAATTAAAATGAAATAAAGCAAGTGAATAGAAGTGAAACGGGGGAATTACCTGCTAAAATGAGGCTCGGTCCGGAAAGCTTTACAGCTTTACCAAAAAAGTGAAGACAAGAGGTGGGAAATACTTAAGAATTGGAATTGGAAAGATGAGGGGTAGAAGACACACTAAAGTTGGTCTGAGCTTCGTCGATCATTGGCGCTTGAAATTCACTATGAACATCATACTATGCTAGTTATAACTAGTTAACTAGTTAGTTATGTACTGGTTATACTATGTTGTATTTATTATGTACTACTTTGTCAGTATATGTGGAGAGTACTGGGATCGGCATGACTCACTCCCGTATATTGTATAATTATATAGTAAGTTATAGTAACTTATAATAGCTTCTAAAATAACCTTACTACCTAGGTATAAGATTAAGAAAAGGGCCAAAGCTTGAGGCCCTTCCAGGCGTCTTCTAGAATTGCATATTCGCCACTTTAGTGGCAACCTCGGGAACCTTGGGAAGTTCCCAGGTCACATATGTCATGGACTCGCCCGTTTTTCTAATGTCACCTTAGAATCTTCTCAGTGGAGAAAATACTTTGCAGAACCGCAAAATTGTGGAAACTTTTAAAAAGCTTTAGATGTTCCATATCGATGTAGCCTTGGGGGAAATGTTAATTGTTAGAATATAATCTATCGCTTAATATTACTACAACGTATGTGCTATATAATAAGAGTAAGCTATAAGCTAAATAATAAGATACCTAACCCCAAAGCTCATGGCGTCATACAAACGGAAAGTCTAGAGCGGACGCATAGACCCGGCCATAGCCACGGTTCGCCCCCCCAACCAACCCCTTGATAGTTATATATGGCCTTTAGGTAGAGATATCTCCATGGCTTCCACATTGGGACATGCATGAGAATCAAAAATTGATATAGGCGCTAAGTCCTCTCCAGGGTCAGGTACTGGTCTGTGTCACATCCCCCCACCAATTTAGTCCCAATACACTACAGCCTTTTTTTTTTTTTTTTTTTCCCCTGTCTTCTTCTACTATTTCTGTTTTCAATTTTCACTGTATCAAGATGGGGACTTTTACATTTCAGTGGTAAGTCAAACTTCTCAACATGACCCCCTTAGCTAGAGATATCAGTTTCTCGGCATTTCTCGACATCCTCGTGGTACAATGCTAAGACGGTTATTTGCAGGCCTTACAATGCGAGCGAGGTGTTCGTTACAGGCAATTTCGATGATTGGGGTAAGACGGTGAAACTGGACCGTGTGGGCGATATCTTTATCAAGGAAGTGACGATATCTCCCGTACAAAAAGTCCACTACAAGGTATGGCGCTTACTATTTTTTTTTTTTTTCTTTTCTTTCTCGCACCTTCACTTTTCGCCTTTACCCTTCTTTCCCTGTAGGATTGGATGGCGGTGAGCCTTAGGCAACAGGGCTACTTCCACTGACGTCACCTGTGCCGCTTTCCCTCATTTATAAAGTCGCAATCCCGCAATCCCAAGGTTCCCAACTATTCAAAGATTCCTCGCTGACCAGAAAAAAAAAAATATTTAAAAATAAAATAGTTTGTTGTCGACGGTATTTGGACTACAGATCCCAACGTACGTGAAGAAAACGACGGACATAACAACATCAACAACGTGCTTCTACCCGAAGAGATCAAGGACGCTGACTTCGCCCCCACCATGTCTGGCGTAACTCCTGATTCGACAACCGCAGCTCTTGCTGCCAACGTTCCCAAGGAGCCCAATGGGGATTTACCTGGTAGCTTCCCAGATACTCCGGGACAAGAGTCCGAACAGGCCTTTTCCGTGGATCCCATTCCAGCTTCGGGGGTTATGGCAACCCCGTCAATCTGAACCCGGGCGACGAAGTCCCTCATCATAGCACCATCCACAATAACACCGTTGACTCCGCTGTCACTTTGGACAAGGAGTCATATGAGAAGGGCCAAACTCTCCCTACTGGCGCTGGGAACACTAACCCTGGCGATCTCCCATATACCCTCCCCCCAATCACAAACAACATGATTCCCGAATCCAGTCTTCCGATCGGTGGACCCGCGCAACGCGCCGCAATCAATGAGTCCGAGCCGATTTATACCGGAGGTCCAGCTCATCAGGCAGCGCTGGCCGACCCAGGATACCACATTCAGTCCGCCGGCCTTGACTCGACCACGGCAGCACTGGCTGCTGGTGTGCCGCTGGAGTCAAAGGGCAAGCAGACCAACGACGATAACCCCGTCGAGGAGGTCCCTCGGGTGGTGAAGGACTCGTTGGCCGAGGCCCACAAGGACCCGGAGGCTGCTGCCAACCAGGAAGCGGTAGACGAGAAGCATGCTATCGAGGAGGAACTGCACAAGAAGATCCCTGTTGAAGAGTCCGGAGGTGCTCCGGCACCTACCGTCACGGCGGCCAACCAGCCCGTTGCGCCCCATCTCGCTGTTGCTAGTGGCGTAGACTCGGCAGATGTGTCGCCGCTTTCGACCCCTCCACTGGACCGCGGCTTTGCTGCTGCTACTCCATCTTCCGCACTAAAGAACACCGAGTCCAGTGGGCCCACTGTCACAACTGGCCCTGAGACTAGTTCGACTGTTGAAACCTCGACTCCCAAAACCACGGCTCCCACGACTGCGCAGCCTACAAGCCCTAGTGCTGCGACGGGAGTTGAGTCTGCTCATACACCTGCTACTCCGGCTGCAAAGCCCGCAAATCCCACTGTGGCGACTGGAGCCGAGTCTACTCAAGCTCCTGCTACTTCGACCGCAAAGACCGCCGAGCCGTCTCCCAAACAATCCCAGAGCACTGAAGGTGCTTCTACCATTGACAAGAAGAAGAAGCACCGCCTGAGTGGCTTTTTCGGAAAGCTCAAGGAGAAGCTTAAATAAATGACTCGGAAATGTCAAATATCCGAGATTGGGATCTGTTCTTTGATCCCAATCATACCGGGGTGGTATAGTCTTGGCTGTAACAGCTGACAGATATCCCATGCTTTTTGTTTGTTTGTTCTCCTATGATGCCTCGCATTCTTTGTTTCTGGATACCTCCTCCTGCCCTGCTTTACTGTCCTGTTTTACTGCATTGTATTTCTGCATTGTATTTTCTGCCAATCGCGTTTTTGTTTATGCCTCGGCTAGTAATTATCGTCTAATGGAAGTACCGTGCTATTATGTGTTCTATAATTGTTTATATCCTAGTTTATGCCTTTATCATGAAAGCCGAAGTCGGAGCCGAAGCCCTCGCTGCGTAAAAATGTAGTACAGAACTCGGAGTATAAGCATGTTGATTTCCACAAACATTGAAGCATATGAAACATATGAAATACATGAGATTAATAAATCCAATCTCGAATCGTAGAATAGAAAGAAAAGACCCCAAGAACCAAGAAAGTAGGCAAGGATCCAAACAATCTATATTAATCGCCCTTGTATGAGTGGGGAGAAGAAGCCCGTTTCCCAATTCCGCTCTTCTCCACCTCAACCTTTCCCCGACTTTGGGGATTTCCAATCTTCTTTTCCCTTTTCCCTTTTCCCTCTTCATCTTCCCTTCTTTGTATCGTACAGACTTGAATTCTGGGGGTCTCTTCACTTCCCGTGAGTGCAAATATGGCTACCCCCACATTATCCGCCATGATCGACCCGACAAAGCAGGCCGAATACCCAATTGTGCTGGGGGAAAGGCTCGCTCGAAACCCCAACACGAGTCGACTGATCAACGTCAACTACAACCACAAATCCAAGTCGGCCACCTCACAACAACGTTCCACCATCACCCACTCCCGATCGGCCGACCTCTATGACCTCGCCGTTACTGATAAGGCCCCGAACGCCGATCAAACATTGTCCTATTCATACAAAGGCAGCGAGGATCCATCGAGCGAGCGAAGTCTGGTGCTCATCTTCGACCCGGAGCGGAAAGTCTTCGTTCTGGAGCCGGTCTCGACAACCTTGAACTTTAATCTACGGTCGGCTCCAGGAAAGACGGAAAAGCAGGTCCGCGAGCAATACGAACAACTGCAGATCAAGGAAGAGGATGAACCAGCAACCTCGGGAGAAGACCGGCACGGAGGGAGTGCCAGCGAGGACGAGGGACCGGCCGACGATAATAATCCTTACGACTTCCGACATTTCCTCCCGAAGAATCGCCGGGAGGATGACAAGCCACCCTCAGGCCACAGCACCCCAGAACTTGCTACCAGCAGGGCCAGCACACCCTTGATGCCGGCTGCCAGACCTGCGCCTAGACCTGCACCACCTCGACCCAAAGCACAAACACAAACACAAACACAAACACAAGCAAACCCACTGCGACAGAAGAAACCGCCAACAAAAGCACCAGCCAAAGTACACGCGCCTGCCGAGCCAGCCGAGCCTGTTAGCTATCCCGACCCGCCTGAGCACGAGGGTTCTCGCTCGTCGCCGTCCGATATAGGCACGGGATCACAACAAGCTGGGCAGTCTCCCAGCTCGAACATCATTGTTGACGGAGATCTCATCATTGATATGGGATCTCCACCTCCGCGGCCCTTTGTGGACCGGACTTACTTCTCGTCCAATAATACTCCAGCAGACGACGATGGGGATGAAGACGTTGGGGAGTTTAGTCTACCTTCCCCGGTTGGCAATACAGCTCCAGTTGGCAATACAGCTCCACCTACTTCTTCGGCCCATACAGGTGCGGCTACTCAAGAGGACGAAGTCGAAGATGATGATGCTTTAGCGGCGGAGATGGAAGCCGCGTTTGAACAAAGTGCTCGTGAAGAAGAAGCTCGGAGCCACCAGTACAGTCAGCCCACGACCAGGCAGTATGTTCCCAGTGATGACGAGAGTGAAGTCAGTGAGGAGGAGTAAATGTCTATTTGGCCTATCTTTTGTTTTGTCTATTGCATCTATCAGCGTGGCGCCAGGACGGACTTTGATCCAAAGTACTATATACCAATTGTAATTGTTTATTGTTTCGAGAAATGTAATTGCATAGCAATGACCAATGGAATTTACATGAGAATCTATTAAACTTGTACTTCTTCCATAGACATAATAATGTAACTAACTAGTTAGTTAATGGTCACATCTCTTACATTGAAGCGGATAAATAGTTCTAATCGGAAATACTATTTTTCCGACCAAAAGCTTCCCTTGTCGACTGCGTCAATACGGAGATCTTTGCCGCCTTGCAGGTTATCTGATAGTGCTCAATATTCAGACAGCACTGTGATGTTTATATATTGATTATCCCTGACTTCTCTTCTCCAATTCTCCGAACACCGTCGTGAACTATCATATCCGCAATGCGATAGAAAGCTCCGCCATGCTAGATTTGCCTTGACGACTGTGACATTTGGAACGATAACGATTATTGTTAACCAGTCACGCGAGCTATTCCTTATAAGGCGCGCCGGATGCGTTTCATCTCTGTCGCCGCTTTGTGAACAACTCCTCGTCAACCTGATTCGTCTTTTCCCTCTTCACTTCGCACAGCCATGGCTTCTTCGACACCACCGAAGCGACGAATCCCCGGCCTGCCAAACCCGGTGTTGGAAGCAGAGCAGCAAAAATGGCTCTTCACCGAAGAAGAATTCGAGCGCACGCCATCGCGCATTGATAAGATCGAACGCGGGAAAGAGGACTACATTCGACACCGTGCAGTCGAGTTCATTTGGCAAGTGAGCGTGATGTTGAAGATGCCCCCGCAGACCTCAATGACCGCCACGGTGTACATGCACCGCTTCCTCATGCGCTATTCGTTGATGGGCCAATATCCGGAGATGGGGTCAGACCTGATGCACCCAAAGGTGATCGCCGCGGTGGCCCTGTTCGTCGCGTTCAAGGTGGACGAGGCCATGCGCCGCATGAAAGATTTCGTCATTGCATGCTGCCGCGTCGCCATGAAGCAGCCAAACCTAATTGTCGACGAGCAGTCCAAGGATTACTGGAAATGGCGCGACCTGATCCTGCAGAACGAGAGCGTCATGCTTGAGTACCTCTGCTTTGACCTACAGGTCGAGTCCCCCTACCGCATCCTCTGGGACTATTCCGTCTTCCTAGGCGTCACCGACAACAGGGCTTTACGACACTCCACCTACTCCTTCCTCAACGACTCAACCTACACCGTCCTCTGCCTCCAATTCCCACCCCGCGTCATCGCCGCCGCGGCCCTGTACGCCGCAGCCCGCCACTGCAAAGTCGCCTTCCCCGACGACGCCGAAGGCAGACCCTGGTGGGAGCAGATCGACGTCCATCTCGACGACCTGATCCGCGCCTGTACCTTCATCGTCAAGATCTACGAGCGCGTCCAGCAAAGCCTCAGCAAGGGCTACCCGGAATTCGCGCTTTCAGACTCAACCCCGAACCCCAATGACCCAACCCGCATCTTCGATACCGATCCTACAAAATCCGCCTCAGAGCAACAATCCACCACCCCTCCAACTCTCACTGTCACATCAGATACGGCTACCAATGGCCGTAAACGCTCGCGCGAACCCGAATCTCACCCCAGCACACAATCACACCCACCCTCCCCACAAAACAAAACCCATTCAACCCTCAATGGGAACGGTGACCACGATCGATCCCCTAAGCGCCAGCGCACCATAACACCCTCCCACGAAGTGACTCTCTCAACCGACCAAAAAACAAACCCTCCAGCACCCTCCCGCCCACGCGTCCCCGCAGCCGCATTATCCCAAACAAAAGCCACACCTAAATTCAACTCCCTGTCAATCACGGGGGAGAAGCCAGGACCGAAACCCTCTGCACACTCCCCTCCAAAAGAAGATTCCAGCGCCGAAGAAGGCGAAGTCCCTGAAGAACAGCAACATGTCGTTCCAGTCGCACATCCCCCGCTGCATGATCCCGCGCCTACGGCAGATACGGATTATCGGAGTAAACTAGACTCCCAGAAAGAGGAGAGAGAGGAGGGCGAGGCTGATGATGATAATGCTGGAAGTGAAGAAGGCGAGATCTAAGATCTGAGCCTAAAAATTGGGTCTATCGGGCCGCTCTTGGAGAAGTGTGGCTGGCCTTAACACCATTTATGAGTGAGAATGAATGAAATCCACAGAGAATCCAATTTCTCTCTTTTTATTTTGCCAACTTTACTAATCCAGGTGTACCAAGGTTGTCCTGCATCCTGGTTTATTAGGGCTGTAAACGAAGTATTTTATGAATAATTCCAATGGTTGCGTCCAGTCGGTACATACTGCATGTGTTTTGTATTGCTTCAAATGTTCAGAACAAGACAACATTAAAGTAACTCGCCATGAAAAGGATAGTTACAAAAAGACACATACATGTATGAGCATGACATGCAATGCAATGTACGCAATGTACGAAAACCGGCACACCGGGACACCTTGATGCGAAATATGCATTATCAATTATCTTCGTTCTCACTTTCATCTTCACCATTCTCTTCTCAATTATCCTCAGTCAAAACTCGCAACTTCAATTCAATATCCAGCAGTCGTAACACCCAAGCCATGATCCAGCAAGCTGCTCGAAGCAACATAGCTGAATCCACCGAACGGATTACTCTCAGCACCAACATTGTTGTCATCCGCGCCCTTTCCGCCCGGGAAATCCTGCCCCTTGCCATAGTACTCATCAAAGCCGGTGGCAGTGATCGTAGGGCTAAGCGGGAGATGGGTGAAATCAACGGAGAAGTTCTCCGCGAGAGCGGGGTCGGTGACGATAGGCTGGATAGGCGGGTCGAGCTCGCGGCGCTCAAGGGCAGCCCAATCGATTTTGCGGAAGAAGCGATGCTTCTTGATTGTCTGCAGGTCCTTCTGCATGTGGTATCCGAGACGCTTGGAGGGTTCCTTACGGAGAAGACGGGTGAGAAGATCCTTTGCGTCGGGTCCAAGGAAATAAGGGAGCACGAGCTTTTGCTTGACGATCTTCTCTTGTAGCTTTGCGTGGTTGTTTCCGCGGAATGGGGGTGAGCCGGTGAGAAGGTCGTAGCCCAGTGCGCCGAGGGACCACCAGTCGCATGCTTTGCCGTATGGCCTGCCTTGGATCACTTCCGGTGCCATGTAGTCGATTGTGCCGAGGAGGGAATTGCAGCGGTCGTCGTCGCTAAGTGCGATCTTGCTGAGTCCGAAATCGGTGAGGAGGAGGTGGCCTTGCGCATCTAGGAGACAATTCTCGGGCTTTAGGTCGCGGTAGAGAACGCCGACGTTTTGGTGAAGGTGTGCTAGTGCAAGTACCATCTCTGCCATGTAGAAGGCTGCTGCATCTTCTTCGAACATGCGTTCCATGGCTAGGTGGTGGAAGAGTTCGCCGCCTTGCGCGTACTCCAGGATCAAGTAGAGCTTCTCGTGGTCTTGGAAGGCATAGAATAGCTTCACGACAAAGGGGTGGCGGTTGACACTTTCCAGGATTGTGCGCTCTGTCTTAGTCTGCTCGACTAGCCTTTTGTGGACAGTGAGAGAAGCCTTCCGGAATTGTTTCTGGGCGTAGAGCTTGCCCGTGAGGACGTGGCGCACCAGCAACACAGTTCCAAATGAGCCCTTGCCTAGGCATAGGATAGGCACGAAGTCCTCTGCTGTCATCTTGCGGCACAGTTGATTGCGCAAATCCGGATTCATGCCTAGGACATCCGCATTGCGATCGTCCAGTGTCTCTGGTTGCACAGCGTCGGAACTAACAAAGTCCTGATCTAGAGGGATTTCATAGCTGGTCAAGATCTCGGTCTGGTCGCTGTCGGAGTAAACACTGGCAGCACTGGGGGTTTTGGAGACAAGTCCGCTACTAGCTGTGTCGTCGGACAGATTCAGAGTGCTGAGTTGAAGCTTCAATGCGCTGACCCCATGGCCTGTGGATGCCTGTGCCAGTGGGCTGGCGCCATCAAGTGCAGTGGGAGGTCGAGAGGGTGTACGTGAGCTCGCAGCGGAGAAGTCCGATTCCTCGTCGCCGGATGCCAGAGTGAAACCACGAACGGTTGCGCATGTCGGCCCGAATTGGTTCTTATTCTTCTTCCGTCGCTGTTTGTTCTCGTTGAGAGTCTTGTTCGCAAACCCATTTAATCCCTTGGCTGTCTGCTCTGGGGGTGACATAGTGCCCATGTGTGCATTGGGGCGACGGTGATTGGCTGGGATGTCAATGGCGGACTGTTCACCGTCGGCTTGCGGAGCGAACACGTCTCCGACCGACAGGTCGTCGGCATTCGAGGAAGGCATGATGCTTTTGTTGTATCACCTGTGATAGGTCCGCGAGTAAAGCGAAACAATTTGGGGAAAAGCGCCGGCGATAACCGCAGGGTCGACGATTGACCTTATGCGGTGGTAAGGAATGGTAGCAAGGTATTCGGAATACCTATCTCGTAGTCGCTGTTCACATAGAGGTACCCGGTTAGCTTCAATCGCTTCGATCTTGGATATCGACTGTAAATAATGAATAGAGGGGTATTTGAGGGTTTTCCCACAACCCCCACTAATTATCGCCAAGGTAAAACGTAAAAGAAATTGAAAAAAAAATAAAAATAAAAATAGCAAATGAAAGGAGGATCAAAGACACGTACTTCAACTTGCAGAATTTATTGCACCAAAGCACGGTTTTCCTTCAGTGCTCGAACTAGTCGACAGACTAGCCTTGAATCTCCCGAGCAGGTTTACCGTCCGCCCTTCTTCAGGACGGACCCGGGACCCCTAGCCAAGTCACCTCGCTGGTCGAGGAGTCGAAGGCCAAGGCGAAAGGGGACAGCACTGAATATGGTGACACTTTGGAAATGTCAGGAGCAGGCGAATCGAGGTTCAGAAGGGAGGGATATGGATCAAGGTTGGCCAGGAAGCCAGTAAGCGAAATCAAAGGCAAAGACGAAGGCACAGATGGGCACATAGAGAATGAAGAATTTTAGCAAAGTAGAGATTAACAGTTTTTCTTCCCCAGGAAGTGGAACAAAGCAAGAAAACTGCGAGATCCTGCAGAAAATCGGATTTCAGGCGTAGATCCGGGGGCTGAGCCACTAGTCCTAATTGGGGTTTCACGTGTCAGATGCTGACTTTAACATGCATCTAGTTACAACCTACAACAATATATAACTACGTACTGGATACCTAAGTATTCCCTGGTGGCTGGGGCGTTTCTATTTGAGCTACTGCCACCGCATTTATGAGGGTGCTCAGGCTTAGGCTCACTGAGTAGATGTTAGCACGGACTCAGATCAGTCACGTGTAGGATGACTGATGCTCAGTGAGTGCTTAGTGGGTGCTTATTGGGTGCTTATTGGATGCTCTCTGGTTACTTAGTGTTGGTGGAACGGAACAAAGAGCAGTGGAAAGACTGTATTGACTGCTAACAGAAGACTGGGGAGGAGAGAGGGGATAAACATGTGGGCATTACTAGCCTGACAAACCAGGCAGCCATTCAGGATCACGTGGTCACACATTCTTAGTGTTCAATGCCTACCTCAGACTATACCTAGAAGGGATTAGCCCCTTTAAGGTCGTTTATACTGTGGTAGTTAGTTCGTTGATAGTATTACTACTACTACCCTCATTTTCTGGAGTACTATACATTATTAAGAAAATATATTATGCCGAAGGGGCGTAGGAAAGAGCAGAGAACTCTATTCGTTTTATAATATCTTCTGTTGAGGTATTATAGCTGTGGATAGTCAATACAAGGGAATCTGGGTTGGAAAGAGCCTCAGGCAGCCCCTGAATGCTGTCATAGTTGATCTTGATATCTAGAACGACGACAAGCTACTTGTAGTTGTATAGGGTGAACTATCGTAATATACAAATGACTTTAAACGGCGTTCGGGGACCAAGAATCCCGAAGAGTCCCGAGTCGAGACCCGCACCGAACCCCGATTAAGCCGACGCGAACATCAGATCTTCACGCGTCAAACCAGAGTTGTTCTCCAGAGCTTTTTTCTAACCGACTAATTCGCTAGAATATGAATCCAGCCTCGTCGGCTTTCTTCAGATGAACTTTCCTTACGGACCCTTCGAGAATTGACCACCACCAAAAGAAAAACTTCCAGTTCATTGATTTCAAACTTCAAAATTGTCCCCATACAAACCACACACCGGTCAGAATGAACCGACACCTATTCCGTCGTTTATTGTCTCAACCGGTAGCCAACAAGGGATCGGAACTACGCGACCACCAGGCTAACGAACGAACCTTTCTGTCTTGGAACCGTTTTGGGCTAGCCTTTGCGGCTATGTCACTTGCTCTCGCTCGACTTGATATCATTGACAACATCTTCAACCGAAAACACCGCGAGGAGACAGCCGCAGCTTCCAAAGCATCATTGGAAACCAAATCCGAGAGAACTTTATCAAACAGACAGACAGAGAACACGCCAATTCTTCTTGAGTACGCGAATGATCATGTCGCTAGCCGCGTATGCCAGGTCATCAGTATTTGGTCGTTTGGGTATTCACTGGCCCGGTATACTTCCACTCGGAGAAATCTATTGTTAGGACGTTATGTCCCTTCAATCTGGGGGCCTATCTTTGTCACACTTGGTTCGCTCGGAGTGTTTGGTATGACCCTCAAGTTGGGGTAAAATATTCTCACGTCGTGTTTTGAGAAATATGTAAAACAAATAGATTCGGTTACATATCATTGTTGAGGGTATACAAAGTCTGGTGTTATTCACGTGTCTTTCTCCTTTTGGCTCCCCAGCGAGTCATGGACATATAATTACATCTCGAATCTAACAAGGACCAATCTACGACGTGCCTAGGTAGTTCCTGACGACAAAGGACTTGAGTGATTTATTCGGTAATTAATTCTTCGAAAATAGTCTGATATCTGAGACAGTAACCAGGATTTACACTTTCCTCTACTTCGAATTCAATGTTCATAAACCAAGAAACAAAAATGAGAGACTCAGGTACGACACCATTCGACTATATGCAGCACTCCACATTGTTAATTGCTTTGCAGGGTACGATACTTCCACTCTCCCCACTGCGTACGTGACAGGAGAGCTTAAGCAAAGGTCAAAATTGTGGCTTTACTTGATGAACAATATCAAAGAGGATCTTTTGCGAGAGAGCGAGCTAGTGCTTCTATCATTTGCTACTGGCATTCAAGATGCTGCTTCTTGCGTGGATTATGGATGTTTCGCATCTAATCAGACTGGAAACATGCTTTTTCTCGCTCTAGTCTACGCCGCGGCTGCAATCGGATCGCCAAAGGAATCGACGGCTTGCTATTTACTTAGGGCCATTATGGCGCCATTACTTTCAAGGATGGCAGAATCAGTGTGGAAAGCATCAAGCAACATGAATGGATATGAACCGTTCTACATCCTGGGCCCACAGCACCAATTTGCTGTCCTCTTACTTCGTCGCGAACTCAAAATCCCACACGACATGCTCTCCCAGAAGCGGTCTTTGAATTTCCCCTCACTTTCCCGGAAGTCGATGCCCGGCTGATTTCACGTTGGGCTATTTAATGGGTCACTATTCCCCATGATTACCCCTCAGTTATTGTCATCGATTCCGCTCGTACGAGTTGGGAGTGCCTTCCTAACCAGCACGCCATGACTGCTCGTCCTCCAGTTTCTACCTCCTTGATGTTGATCGGGAACACCCCAGTGGTACGCCTTCGTAATGTCGTGCCCGACCATTGTGCCCAAATCTTCCTGAAAATTGAATCTGCCAACCCAACTGGTTCATACAAAGATCGCATGGCGAAGTCAATGATCGAAGAGGCTGAATGTCGGGGAGATCTGAGACCAGGCATGGCGATTGTGGAGGCCACAGGCGGAAGCACAGGCTCCTCACTAGCATTTCTATGCGCGGTAAAAGGCTATCAATTCCATGTGGTCTCATCCAATGCGTTTGCGACTGAGAAGCTGCGAACTATGAGCGCCTTTGGTGCGTTACTCGACCTGGTTCACAGTCCGACTGGGGCTATTACCCCAACTCTCATTCCTTCTATGATACAACGCGCGGAACAGGTTGCCAAAGCCGATAATTATTACTTCACCAACCAGTTCATCAGCAAAGATTCTCTGATTGGATACGAGACTATTGGCCACGAGCTAGTCGAGCAATTTCCCCAGGGAATTGATGCATTTTGTGGCGCTGTTGGAACTGCCGGTATGGTTATGGGTGTGGCACGGGTTCTGAAATCAAAGTGGGCAGAGACCCATATCGCTGTTGTTGAACCGGCGTCTTCACCTACAATCACTGAAAATCGCCCTGGTCCTCACAGCGTGGAAGGCATTGGCATTGGATACATTCCGCCACACCTTGATCGTCAGCTGTACGACGAAGCACTTGCAATCTCCGAGGAAGAAGGTCGGAGCATGTGTCGGCGTCTCGCCAAGGAAGAAGGATTGTTGGTTGGGACATCAACTGGCCTCAACGTCGTGGCTGCGATCAAACTGGCTAAACAGCTCGGCCCTGGTAAAAGAGTCGTCACTGTAGCAGCAGACACGGGACTCAAATACTTGAATGGAAGCTTGTTTGCAGATAAATAATGGAAGAATGGCTTTCCGCTTTACCTCATCGTATCAAGTACCCCATAATTATCTGAGATTTTAACATCCCGCCTTGCCTTTTCAGGCTAGCTTTCCGAGGCAAAACGGCAAATGAACTATATCTCCATGGATGTTGTATGTGATTAGCAATCCGTAAATTGGCTAAGCTTGTGGACTGATGAAGCGTACAATGGCATAGAGGGGTATTAGGATCATATACACTCGTAATCTTCTCTTTAAATTGACTTGTAAACAACATTTCAATGAATGTCCGGAGGTCTGCTAGGTGAGGTTGTATCGGGTATCAGCGGCTCGCCCGCAAAACTAGCCCGAACAGTGCAGTGGGGCTATGGATGAAGATGGATTGAACGGACTGTCTTTTAGTTTCTCCACTAGCTGCGTGTCTCGTTAAACTAACTTCATGCGACATTTCCCGACTCGTCCACTCGTTGTTCACAAGGAGCTGAAGGATACTGCCCATTATATCAACCGTTACTATCAAATGGAAGTCGGGGTGGACTCCTTGTCTCCTAGATGAAACTGTATCCTGACGGTGGCGAAATCCATGGTTCGGTCAGTGAGCAGAAGTAGGGGCTGCTCCCAGTGTTTACGGCGCAAGATCAAGGTGAGTAATATTTTATTTGTTTTGTATGATTTATAGTAATGAGATTGAGTTCTAAGTGCGACGAGGGTCGTCCAGCATGTTCCCAATGCAGACGAATCAAAAAGCCGTGTCCCGGCGTCTACAATGGCCTGTTTATGGTCAATGCTAGCCCCGACCCCAGTGGGCAGCCTAAACAGGCCTCCAATTCTTTCCAGGAAAGCAATGATATCACTCCTGAGCATGCACCTCCATGTCTCCCAGCCGAGCCGTCCCCACACCACTTGTTTGAGCAGGCCCTCTTGTCTAATTTCATCGAGTCATTCTCCCAGTCAGGTTCCAAGCTGACGCAGCCTGATTCCTGGACGAGATATCTACTCTCATGGATATCATCCTCGAAGACCCTTAGGTCGTCGATTCGAGCAACGACGCTTGCCTTCTACGCACAGGTATCCAAGCAAAAGGCTCTGTGCCACGAGGCTGGCCAATACTATGCATGTGCGCTTCATGGCCAGAGGATCTACATGAGCCAGTGGCTGGCAGGATTTAATCGGCCAGCAATTGCCGCACAAGAAATACCTACCGATCAGGATATTTGCACCTCGCTTATGCTAATGTATTATGAGCTTATAAATCCAGCTGCGACAGGAAGCTGGTTGGCGCATTTACGAGGAACAGCCCAGCTCTTAGTACTGAGGGGGCCGCAGAACTGCCAGGTTGGAGCGGTTCATCTCATATTCCGCTCGGTGCGGTTGTTACTGGTGAGTCTGCTGGAGGTCAACGGGTTTAGAATCTAGATATTGAGGCTGATATACATACTGCTGCAGGCCCAAACATCTATTAGAACCCAGGAGCAGTCGTGTTTTGCCTCGTCGGACTGGTGCGAGATACCGTTCGCTCACTCGAAAAAAACAGCACTAGACGTTATTCTCGACGTAATCCACAAGATTGTCGGACTACTTCAACGATACAAGAGCGGTGAGGAGTACAAGAACGAAGATCCTCGCTCGATACTCGGATTATTAGAGAACCTCACAGAGAGCCTCACCAACAGCGAACGCATGTATCTCCGCGAACTCCACGAGTCCTACTCAACCCAGACAATCGCCTCAAACTGTCTCGCCTTCCAGTCAATCGAATTCGAACGACTGAATGACGAAATCTGGCTTGGTGGAGGCGACTTTTGCTCCGCTATACCTGCGGTCATGTTTCACTCAATCCAGATTATGATCAATGATCTTAAGCTGAAGCTTCAGATGGCAGCAGAAAACCATGTCGTGGTCGAGTCTGAGGCTGTGATTAGGGCCTCCGATTTGTTAGATTTTGCAGACACTCTATTCCAGCGCGATCTTCAGAGTAGACTCAACGACGGCTCGTGTATGCAGCTTGTTTTCCCACTGGAGATGGTACGGCGGCATAGTCTTTCTGAGAAGCAAAAGACACGGGCTATGGCCTACCTTCATCGGCTTGGGTGGAAAGATGAAGAAGATGAAGAAGAGCCTTGGATATGATAATTTACGCACAGTCACTGGAATATCTCAGCATGTATAATATGGCCATGCATTTTGGAGGATCAAGAACAAGAAATAAATCCTTCACTCGCTCAGCCCCCGAGTCAACACGCGCAACCCATTCCCATTTCTGTTGTTGCCATCGATCTAGAACTCAGCTCGCTTGTCAACACCACTCAGAGCAACAAGCCAAGGCACCCTAGTAGTAGTATAAAATTCCGCATCAACGCCATCATCCAACTTCTCCGACTCGGTCAACGTCCCCGCCTGCACGAGCTTGAACCCCTTCAACTGCTCAGCCGTGGCTTCTTTCCACAGTGTACTTCCACAGTCTGGGCAGAAGAATACCGTGAGGACCATGCCGTACTCATGGTCCTTTGAAAACCACTTGGGGCTTCCTCCCGTAACGCCGAAGTTGACTTCCGGTACAGCGTAGTTGACTGTATTGCTTCCGCCGGATATCTTGCGGCAAGAGATGCAATGACATATGGCCTGAGTTGAGAATTAACACGGAACTGAAGGAGGAGAGTAGATAAAAAAAAAGCTTGCTTACTTTGAGTGCTGGTGAGCCAGTGTAGGCGTAGGTGCATGCGTTGCAGAGGCAGCTTCCGGTGGTGGTGGTGCTACTCATGATGAATAAACCTTAAGTGAAATTGCAACGAAATGTTGATAGTCTACATGTAGTCTAGAGGGGCTGGTATGGGGAGTTATATGCTTTTTGATTTCATCGACTCCACTGGGACTTCCCTTCTGAGCTAGCTTTCCGAGCCAACCCTGATATATACCTACCTACCCTACCTTACCCTACCCTACCCTACCTAGGTACCCGACTTTAGACCGAGCCGGGTGTCTGCCAGCATTTGAGGTTAGATCTCACGGTGGCTCGGTGAATTCGTTTAAAGGAAATCAACCCAATTGTTGTATAGGTAAGTCATACAAAAGATCCTGATTTATAGATTTTGCATCCTGGCACGGCTATTGCATGCTATTTCATTTATCTTGATATTACAGTCCTTTTGCTTACACTAAGCCTTGATATATCGCCAAGTGGTTTTACAGATCCGCCTAAGACAGCCTCACACAGCCTCAAATCGTTTTGTTCGTTTTCGATTGAAACTAGTGCAGTTTCGACATTCTCATCCTTCTTTGTAGGTGATTTTTGTTTTCTAGTTTTTCAACCCTGTAGTTTTTGATTCTTGAAGTTGAAGTTGAAGTTGAATTTGGATTCGAATCAGATTGACGTCTGGGTGTAAAGCCTTTTGGGGCTTGATCTGGGAATAAAAACCAGCAATTTGTAGTGGCATGTGTTGTCACCTTGCAATGTTCACAATAGGGATTGTTGAAAGGTTTTTTCTTCCATGCATTTTTGGATTTTTGTGCAACCATAAGCTTGGTGTTGCTTAGTTGTTGAATTCCACGGGATTCATCAATAAGTCTTGAAAATAGGGTCTCTGATGTATATGAATTTGGATCTCTCTGTAGAGATTGAATGATAGATTGAATCAATGATTCATAATCTTCACTTAGGCTGTTTAAAACCCATGCAATTACTACCTGTTTAGGTAAAGTAATATCTTTGCTTGATAGATCATCCACTAATATTTTAACTTTGTTAAGATATTCTTCTATGGTATGAAAATCATCCAATTGAGTGTTGAAGAATTCTTTCAAAGTTAGATATTCAGTGGTGAAACCTTTTGGATAATAGATTTCCTAGAGTTTTTCCCAGGCCTGCTTTGCAACTGAAATATCTTTGATATATAGAAGTGGACCATCATCACATAGTAATTGTATAATAGAGAGAGCTCTATCATTTTTACTACCTATAGTGGCTTGTTGGCGAATTGTTCCAATAAGCTCTTCTTTGGTAAGAACTGCTTTCACTCTGATTGCCCAGATTGAATAGTTTTCAGAACCTCGGAGCTTTTGAATTTGTATTTTTTCGAGAGAGGCCATGATTCTATACACAGTACTATCAATGTATATAGAAAGGTGTAGTTCAACGTTTCGGAAGGAGTCAATTTTGTTATAGAAAGATCAAACATAAATCTTTCTATAAAACAAAAGAAAAAAATGAAATGAGCCGGGCTCATAACCTATGAGAGGTTATAGGGAAATCAAAATTGAGAGAAAAGAATTTTGGAAATCAGTTGTAAATCAGTTGCAAATCGGTTGCAGGAAAGAATTGTATTATGATCATAGGAAAAACCATGAAGGATAAAAAACTAAGATCTAGGTGATATTTACCATATATTTGTATCAGATATATGGTTACATTAATATTTATAATGATTAATTGAAAATCCATTTTATGTTGCAATATAACTAATCAATGATTAATTGATTCCATTTTTATGTTGCAACTACAGCCACCAACTTACCCAGGGGCATAGTGGCCAGGGTTACTTTCAGATTTAATGCATACTGTGATGCCTTAATGCCCTAATTTGGTATGGCAGAAAAATCAAGATACATACCTGAATTACAATTACAGCTTCCCGCGGCGGGTGCCTGAATATCTGCCTTAGACAGTATCTAGCCCTATGAATATGAAGCTATTTCTACCATACAAATCCATACATCGCATGATTCTTAGGCGGTTTGAACCTGAATTTAGTGATACCCCTATGAAAATTCGACAACTGCCTTATCACTTTACTCCACCAATATAAGCTCAATGGATTTGGTTTTCAAGTTTATCTAATATAAGAGGGTTTTATATTTTTAAGAGGTAGGTTTTATGGTACAATATACGCTAACTAGAACATAGGTCAAGATGCGTAGATATATGAATTTGAGACTATACCTACATTCATTTTTCGCTAACGTACCAGGGACTTAAAAAATCAAAACACTCTCATGTTAAATAAACTACTAATTCTCTATTTTATACAATAAAAACCAAATCTATTGAGCTTATCTTGACGGAGTGAGGTGTTCGTCCGGCGAACTAGTTATTCCGTGCCGAAGGCTTTACAATACACTATATCCTAGATCTAAAAGCGGTCAGGATTAAGGCCAACATAAGGCTAAATAAGGCCAAATTAAAGCATTAAGGCATTAAGGCATCACAGTATGCATTAAATCTGAAAGTAACCCTGGCCACTATGCCCCTGGGTACACCAACTTGCATATGAGTGTCGATCTTGCATACTGCAGCCTCCTTTATAACATGAAATCACTTACGGAGTACACGGCACTTAACGGTTCTCGAAGAAAGCCTTTGAGCGAGTAATCTCCACACCAGACCACTGGACAAAAGCGAGAGCACTTGGCTTCTCCACCTTGACTGTCACACGCTCATTGCCAAAGTCCACAGTCACAATGCGAGCAATGAACGTAGCCAAAGATTCTACAGACTGGAAATCAGTCTGATCAACCTTCTATAATCCCAAGTCAAGTCAGCAAATAGGCCCCAGAAAAAGACACCAACAAAAGCATCACAGAACAAAAAAAAAAAGGGAGTCAACCGCATACCTCAGCCACAGCCCTTGTCACAGCCTGGTAAGTATCAACAACAGTCGACCCCCAAGCAAGCTGCCCAGGACCCTGGAACGTAAGACCAACAACAACAGCCTGCTTCTCAAGTCTCTCATGAGGATTCACACCCAAGATAGCATAGCACCTAATCCCGTCAATCCGGAACTCCTCCTCCAAAACCACCAATCCGCGCGCCTCCCCACCTATAACCTCCTCCCCAAGCGCAATAACCCCACGATACCGAAGCCCGTCATCCGCACGCAACAAAGCCTTAGGCAAATGCAGCAAGACCTCGCACTCCCCATAAGCCGCCGAGATAGGATTCGGCTGCCTGGCCGCAGTAGCAGCAGACGTAGTCTCCAACAGACCTAACCCGGCATCCGCAACAACACCCGCTATCACGCGCGGGTCTTGGCCTAGTCCGCGGCTCTGCATTTCCTCGCGTCGCGTCCCTTCCAGGCTGATTAGTCGCTGGGAGGGGTGGGATGGGGATGAGATGTTCTCGCCCATGTTGCGCACGTCGTTTTCTAGTCGGCGGAAGAGCTTGCCGTAGTCGAGAGTCAGGGAGACGTTGTCGGTTTCCGCGGCTGTGATTATTGAGGAGTAGGAGAGCTTGAGGGTTGCGGTGCATGGTTGCGACTTTCCCTGGCGGTGCCAGGCTTCTGGCGCGCAGGGGAGGGGGAGCTCGATGTCGCGGAGACGGACGTTGTCAAGGACATCTGGGCGGGGTGGGAGTTGGATTGGTTGGTCGGTCATGGTTGTTGGGGTTACGTTTGTGGTTTTAGGAGAGAGGTTATTGCGACGGCGTAAACAATACTAAATCGAAGGGAAGCTGAGGGGTCTGGTTTTTTTGGCGGGGCACTCGTGAGCGATTGTAGATCATGACGGCGAAACCCACACGGCTTTTTCCGCATTTTGGTTGATATTTGATATTTGATATTTGTTGTAGAATTATAAATTAAATAGAGAAGATTAATGGAATATCATGGGATATTGCATGTATTCCTCTTAACTATAAATGCTACAATTGGAGTTTGGTGGGGTCTTCCAATATATATTTCGACTTCAACGTAGTGAATGACAACAGACAACAAGCCTTCACCCAACGAGCTATTCAAAGATAAGCCGTGTTGGAAGCACGAAGCAACGGGGCATCAGGAATGCTACAGCTAAGAAACAAATCAAAGTGAATTAAGATTTCCAGGTGCTAACACACATACAATAGTCCAGGATGGATAAGACCATAGGGCGATAACCACAGCCTTCAGCCATCCTAAAGTTACCAGGATAGAAAGAAATATTTCAGAACTCGCGCTGTCCAGTCGCCAGGAAGAAAGAAAAGCACCCGGCCGCGAGAACATGCTGAATGAACCCTCGGCAGGTGAAAAAAGATCATGATCCCATGAAATCAATACGAGACGTTGCGGGTATTTGGCGAAGGAGGTCAACAAAAAAATGATGGTAGAACGGGAAGAATATGCAGTAAGTCCAATCAACGAAGACCCGACGCCATCTACCAGTAGCGAGGACGGTCGTAAGGCACATACTCGCCTCTCGGCGGAGAGCGAGGACGGCCGTAACCGCGGGCAGCTAGGTAAGGATCATCATAGTGGCGAGGAGGTGGGGGAGGCCGGGCCTCATAGGGGTCATCGTAGGGACGACGTGGAGGTGGGTAGTCTTCCATCCGAGGGCGAGGGGGAGTCCGGCGGGCATAGCCATCCCGTTCATAGTAGGGATCGCGGCGGATTGGGATTGGCGACCGCTCACGGTAGTGCTCCCGAGGACTGTAGCCACGTGGGGGAGGGATCCGGCGGTCGTACTCCTCCATGGTGGCAGGGTAGGGGCGACGCGGTGGGGAACGAGACCGGTATGGGTCACGAACGGGGCGTTCCTCAAAGGTTTGAATCTGGGAGTTGGTGAGAGGGGGTTCCTCCAGGTCCGAGCCAGGTTGGGCGCTTACATCGGCGACACAAGAGACGACGGAGCCCTTAAACTCTCGCTGGTCCAGTTTCTCCACGGCGGTCTTCAAGTCGTTGGCGGTTTCAAATTCCACAAACCTTGGTCAAATGTCAATGGATTGAAAGGCTCTCTCTCGTGGAATACAATGGTCCACCTACCCTCTGCCCTGTTCACGGCCAGTCTCAGAGTAAACGACGTCCAGACCAGACTGGCGGGCGAAGTCTTTCAAGTCCTATTTAATGCATGGTGAGTCCAGGTCCAGGAAAGGTAACGTGTCCGGTAAATGGTGTAAGAGAAAAGGTAAGCACTTCATGTCCAGTCCGAGGAGGTATATCCGGAATGGCCATCTTATATCGGCATCCAAAAGTCCCAGGAAAGGTTCCATGGGGGTTTGACAACAATGTGTGGTGAGTATGCAAGGATTAAGGAGCAAATCTCAAATCTCGAGGCAAAAGAAAACGCTATAGAAGCAGTTCTCAGTTACCAGGAGAGGAGTGCTGATGGATTAGTACTCCAGGATCCTTGGCTCAACCGATGGCCTCAAGGACAATGGACTGGAAGCATGTGTGGGCTGAGTAAAGAGACAGGTTTGAGGAAACTACATCAGAAACCCCGGGGAGGAATGGACTTGGGCTGCTAACCTGCCAACTTGTTTCTGGAAGACCGGAAATCTGCATGCGGAACATAGTGCGACGTGGACGGGGGAGAGCATTGCGGTCTGGTGGTCCCGGGAAGGCCTCCTTGCGGCGAGGACCGCGTGCAAACTGAACGGTGAGTCGCTCGCCCTTGAAGTCACTGCCGTCTGTGGTATTGATAAGCGGGGAGAGGTCATCGGCGGAGAAGTCATGGGGACATACGGAACGCTGCAGGAAACTAATGTTAGCAAGTCTGCGCAAATAAAGGGAATAAGATGAGCGATTCAGCCATCATTACCGGGCACAATATCTCTGGCGTCCAGCTGGTCGTCATATTCGATGAAGCCGAAACCGTTCATCAGCTTGATCTCCGTGATCTTGCCGGAGCCATGGCTGCTGAAATGTTCCTCGATGTCGCTTTTAGTTACTGAGATAAGTAATAAAAAGATTAGCACATCACTTCTCAAATGGTGATTCCCAAAGCACTAGTCAGATGGTCATCCGCGGCGAAAGCTGTCCCCGTTCCATGTGGATAGCGTAGCTGAAGCTCCCATTTGCTCAACTCGGGGAAGGGTGGACCGAGGGTGGCATTCCACATCGAGCATACGAGGGATCAGAGCACATGGAACTTTTGGGGAACTAGGGAAGCGACCGAATCATGCAAGGTGGTGCGTGTGTTCTCCAAAGCTCAGGGAAGAGGGACAGTCAGGTGCTAGCATACCGTTGCGGGGAAGGTTCCCAAGATAAAGGCGGGTCGAAGACACCTCAGTCATGGCTGGTCTGAAATAACTGATGGGCGATAAGTGGAAGAAAATCTGGTTAAAGAAAATCGTAGAGAATATGGGAGAGATCGAAAAGGCGGGAATGCAGCAAGAGGCTGTGAGATGTGGTGTTGCTGCAGGAAAGCGTGTAACGTGTAACCTGATAAAAAACAATCAGAGAGAACGGGTGTACTGTAAAGTACTGCAAGGTCGAACAGCAAAGCAGAATATCAAAAAACAAATACAAAAGATACGGAAAAGAGAGAGGGGAGGAAAAAGGTAGAAAGTACCGTCTGGCGGTGGACAGTTGAGAAACTTTGGCCGCCTCACTTTTTTCTGATCCACGTGGTTCCACCATAGAACATAGAGAGGGGAAGAGAAATAATATGAAACATTTAGTTCTGTAGAGTATCTAGTATCTAGTATAAATTATAGGTTATAGATTATATGTTGAATCATACCTAGGTATAACTAGTTATAGAATATATCCGAATGAAGTATAAGGAAGCAAGGCTTATCCCTCGTGGACTCTCTCCACTGGCATTCCACGGTTCTGCCAAACCCCATGGGGTCTTTTTTTTTTTTTTGTTCACTTTGGTTTTTTTTTTTGGCCTATTTGTGGCATCTATATACATTGGTCTTCTTTTTGATATCAAATTATGTTGTATATCCAGCCATTCTTTTATTAACTCCCCTGATTCTAGGTATTCTGAGGATCCCATAAGATCATGTCATGATATACTTGGGTCCCTCTCCACCTTGAGGAGTCTGCCAGTTAATGTCTTGTGTAGGAACCTTGATATCACAAGTCTTGCAGTGAATACAACTGGTAAATGGTTAGTATTGTATCCAAGATGACTCAAATACAGGTAAACACTTACTTTTGTGAGTTGATCTGGAACCGGACCCCGTGCTTTTTGCTAGGGTCCTCCACATATTCGTAGACACCTGCAGGACAGAACCGGTTTTCAATACCCTTGTAAGCAGGCCATGCGAGGTCCGTGTGCTTATCCAAGTCCTCCACCTGCAGGTGAACCGGTTGGTCTTCCTCGTGGTTGGTGCCGGTCCGGCTCACACTGGTCAAGATATCGAAGCTGAGCTCTCCGTCTGGCTTGGGGTAAACGATCTTTTCGTATTGAGAAGCAGGCTTGGTAGCCGCTGCGTCGGTGCCATGGTGGCTGAGTGTCCATGGCACTCGGCCCTTGAATACATAGGCCTCCAGACCGGAGTACATAAGTCCACCGAAGAAGCCTAGTGGGGTGTTGAATGAGGGCCGCATGTTACGGACCTCGGACAGTTCCTTCCAAATAGATGATTCCCGTAGAGACTTCTCATAGTCAAACAAGAACACGGTTCCTTGATTGTCACCCTTAAGCGCCGAGAAGGCAGCCTCGGCGGCTAACATACCCGATTTCATTGCGGTGTGGGTACCTTTGATTTTCGGGACGTTTAAAAAGCCAGCCGTGTCACCAATCAAGGCACCTCCGGGGAATGCGCACTTGGGGATCGACTGGAAACCACCCTCATTCAGTGCTCGGGCCCCGTAAGAAATGCACTTGCCGCCCTCGAGAACCTCCTTGAACATGGGGTGGTGTTTCATCTTCTGGAACTCTCCGTATGGTGAGAGCCATGGGTTCGGGTAGTCCAATCCTACTACCAGACCGACACTCACCATGTTGTCCCCAAAGTGGTACAACCAGGCTCCACCATAGGTATCCTTAGGAAGAGGATATCCCAGCGAGTGGGTGATCTCGCCTGATCGGAACTTCTCGGGTTGAATCTCCCAGATTTCCTTGATTCCAAGACCATATGTCTGGGGCTGGCTGTCTCGCCGGAGATCGTATTTCTTGGTCACCTGCTTGGTCAAGCTGCCGTGGCAGCCTTCAGCAAGAAGCGTGACGCGGGCATGGAATTCCATTCCCCTCTCAAATGTCTCCTTGGGTTTTCCATCCCGAGCAAGTCCCAGATCGTTAGTCGCAACGCCCTTGACGGAGCCATCTGCGCTATAGACCATCTCGCTGGCTGCGAACCCAGGGTACACCTCCACGCCAACCTCTTCCGCACGCTCTCCCAACCACTTGGTCAGCTCGTTCAAACTGACAATATAATTCCCCTCATTGTGCATCTGTGGCGGCATGGGGAGTGGGTAAGAGCCGTTTTTGGTCAGGAAACGCATCTTCTCACTCTTGGCGGGGGTCGCACCCTCAAAGCGCGAGGGGTTGTCCTCGGACAGCCAGTCGGGGAGGAGCTCATCGAGGGCGGTTGGTTGCAGAACGTTTCCGGAGACAATATGGGCGCCCAATTCACCAGCCTTCTCTAGTAGGATAACCCGGAATTCTTCGTTGCCTTCCTCGTTGGCAAGTTGTTTCAAGCGAATCGCGGCGGCGAGACCGGCGGGCCCTGTAGTCAATCAAAGCTTAGTTAGGTTGCGCCAGTAAAGAACAAATACAGCACAAAGCACGTACCACCGCCAACGATGCACACATCCACGTCGTCGGACTCGCGCTCCAACGAGCGAGGATCGAAGGCGCCATTCTCGTCGGTGAAGCGCTTTGATAGCGATTGCGAAAAGGCTCGTGTCTGGGTCGGCGCGGTGAATAATGCCGTTCGCCGAGCTAAGCATCGCCCGGAGGTTGTAAAAGGACTGGGTGAGTGGCGGGCTGGAATAGCGATGGCGGAGACGGAGGTGGTAGCTCGTGAGAATCGGGAGGATCGAATTTCACGCCTCAATAGAGGCAGAACGGCACCTTTTGATGCCATTGCGGCGTGTGAGATTGTTTGAAGATCGGGGGGCTGAAACCAGGATTACTAGTAACGACCAGCAGTTGGCATCATCAGATTGAAAGGGTGATTGCGGAGACTCAGTCTATTTAGGTCGTAGATCCCAAATGTCCCCAGAGTCCTCGAGTACCCGAATTTTGAGTGGAAATGACAAAACGCCGAGAAACCGCCTACCCTCGGCTTAACTCGGTCAACCAATAGGAACCTTGGCGATTATCCAACTACCAGGCCTGAGGCAGCAATGGATGGATCACCCGAAGCGGAAATCGCCTCTCGTCGTTGGGGTCTGACTGATCTTTTAGCAACTGTGCATATCTTCTTAGTTGTATTATTCAAGATCAATATATGGAGTACTGCCTTGGTTTTTGTCACATCTAGGCGCCAAATACTCCGTATTCAATCCCCTATAAATACTCGGTACTGATCACATGCATCACATGCTTAGCTTCATTTGTGGTAATGAAATATTCCAACGTCGACATCAGCTCTAGACCTACGGAGTACAGGGTGCATATCTATATGCCAGAAAACAACCTTAAAATAGTCGAGTCATACTAACTGTTTCAAGTGTATCAAAGATCGATCTGGCCAGATCAAAATGTACTTATTCCGTATTATTACTAGAGTATTATTACTAGATTTCCAGGAATGTGACGCCTGTGCCGTTTCGGGTATGGTATTCAGCATACTATACCATACTAGCATACCGGAATCCCCTAGAAAATGCAAAAAATACCATGATGTGACGTGAAGGGTGTTCATGAATAACAAAGTCTCAAACATCGATCTAAATAATAGATCCGAATAATAGGAAAGTGACCGATCATCGCCAGATTGCATGCCATGAGATTTATCCAGCCTTGGCAGACAGTGGATCAACACTGGACGCCACCGCCTGTTAAGGCAGAATCAAAACGGCCACCTGTCCTAATCAAAATCTCTGGGGCGAGTCGCTGGTTTGAAATGCAGAGAACAAATATAGTCAGATCAAATAGAAGTTGTGAGCATTATATCTCCCTATTATCAGTTAGTCCACCACGAAAATGTGGAATATTATAGTGATTATAGTGATTCCCCGGTGTGGTGAGGTCAGAGAGGTAGGGGAAGACACAAGGCAAAAAAATCAGAATTTTTGTTCAGTTGCCATCTGTTAAAGCGGCAAGAGGATAGCGCGTCGTACATGGAGCGACCGAGGGTGGTCGATGACGATGATTGGATTGGCATGGGACGGATGGACTATCAGCTGCAGGAGGACTGCGGACTGGCAAACCCAGCGCCTGTAACCATGGCCCGCGGAGGATAAAGCAAGGGTGTTTGAACCAGTCAGGGGTCAAGATAGAGAAATTAGCGGAGTACGTTGGGCGAATGAAAGTCACTAGAGAAGTTTTGTGGCTGTGATTGGTTCACGACGTGGTTTCCTTGAGCCGCTAGCGGGCAATGGAGCCAAGGTTGAAGGGGGAACAGTCTTGCTGCTTTTACCGCCACCGGCGGCCCAGTCTCCCCTGACCGGGCTGTGACTCAGCACTATATAAAGGCCCAACCTCCCCCAATTTACCTTGGGAATTTTGTCTCGGTCTTGGCGGATCTTATTTCGGAAATTCTTCTTCCCTCCGCTCCTCTCAAAAAGCCTCTTGATTATCAAATCTTGATATCTGCCGGCTTTCTCTTACTAATCAGATCTATCTCAATCAGATCTTTGATTTATACCTTTGGAAGACCCTTGATTCTATTTCTTTTTAGGGAAAAAAAAAAGGTTTTTTAGTCCACGGACCTAATCACCAGAAGTCGAGCCTCAGGTTTCACTTCACCACTCTCTCTTTTTTTTTCAGATCGCGCAGATAGACAATCCCATTTTCCAAAAACAGCGCAAAAGAAACATTTCGAAAGAAACCAAAAAAAAATTGCCATCCTTCCGTCCATAATATCGCCGTCGCGCTTATCTTGAAAAAACACTTGAGTGTGATTTTTTCTTGATTCGTTCACCAGTCGACTGCGTTGGTTTCGTTGCCTACACTATCTCGTGATTGCCTGCCATTCCGAGAGGTTACGTGCGAATACCTCGTAGGGGGATACATTGAGTTGTCCATCTCCCAGGTAAGACCTTCCTTTCTTTTCCCCACGGTTGCACCTTCCCGCTCTTCTTCTTCGTTCCTTCCCTTCTTCGTTCCTTCCCTTTTTGGTTTCATTCTCTTTTGGGCTCCCTTCTCTTCGGGTACTTTTCTTCTCCTACCTCACCGCCTCCCTCTCTCTCCCCGACGCGTTTTATCATCTCGTGACTTTTCGCGATAGAAGCTCACATTTCTTTTTGATAGTTCCATCTGATTTTTTATCGCAACTCGAGGATTCCATCATGGATTCTCTCACCACCCACCCTTCCAATGCGCAGCAGGCTCGTGCCTTCACTGCTACCTCGTCGCTGTCTTTCCCTGGTGGCGCTGGGGATCTGACCCCTCCCAACTCTGAGAAGGAGGCCATGGCACAGGGTGCTCAGGGCGGAAACGGTATTAATGGCCAGCAGGCTGGAGGAAATGCCATGCATGGCACCGGGGTGACTCCCGCTTCTCCTGCAACCCCCGCCGCCACCCCTGGCGCGACCACCACCGGAAGCAGTGGCATTGTCCCTACCTTGCAGTGAGTATACTCTGGATGTTTTTCTGGGTGACCAGAATGGCTGAACTAGTTATTCCAAAAGGAACATCGTTGCTACTGTCAACCTTGACTGTCGCCTTGATCTCAAGACCATCGCGCTGCATGCGCGCAACGCCGAGTACAACCCAAAGGTATTTATTAATCATCCCTCATGTTGCTCCGAGAGGGCCCACACCAGGGTACAATGTGGCTGAACTTGGTTCTTTCCTTAGCGTTTTGCTGCCGTGATCATGCGTATCCGCGAACCCAAGACCACCGCTCTCATCTTCGCCTCTGGCAAGATGGTCGTTACTGGTGCCAAGTCCGAGGATGATTCGAAGCTGGCTTCGCGCAAGTATGCGCGTATTATCCAGAAGCTTGGTTTCAATGCCAAGTTTACTGATTTCAAGATCCAAAATATCGTCGGCTCTTGCGACATCAAGTTCCCCATCCGTCTGGAGGGGTTGGCCTCTCGTCACCACAATTTCAGTTCCTACGAGCCTGAGTTGTTCCCTGGTTTGATCTACCGCATGATGAAGCCCAAGATCGTTCTCCTGATCTTCGTCAGTGGCAAGATTGTCCTGACTGGTGCTAAAGTCCGCGAAGAGATCTACCAGGCTTTCGAGCTGATCTACCCTGTGCTTTCTGGTATGCTGTCTTGCTGGATTTACTGCCATGATACCTTTACTGACTAATGTCCACAGATTTCCGCAAGGTCTAAGAAAGCTCCAAGGAGATCACTATGCATTTCAAACCTGTATTAACATTGCTTTTTCCCTTTACGAGGACAGCCCACTTTGGACTACCCCTCCATTTTCCTTCGGTTCTTTACGACTCTTTTCATGCAAGCATAGTTGGGCGTTTTTAGCGATTCGGATGATCCCCGGTTTCCTCACACTTTCGTGTTCTTCCACACAATTAGATTGCTGCACACCGCAGTGAGGCGGTTGTGCGCCGGTCGATGACTGCCTCGATTTAATCATTTATCGTTCTACGGTTTCATCTGTGGGGGTTGCTTCTATTCCCACAGGCCAAAAAAAAAAAAAATTAATGGTGACCCAAGGCAGTCTGTTAGATTCAGTTCCGTCCTTGCTTTCCCCATCTGGGGCTTGATGGACCGGCTTTGCGCCGTGATACTACCTTTGAGTAGTCAAATGAAAATGTCTTGAAACAAAATTCCCCTATATGTTCGAGTAGATCACTGTAGTTCGTAGCACTGTGGCATTGAGCTTTGCTCACGCCTCGGTCTGTATGCCTTTGTACATCTATATCTTCATGTTATATACATCACACTAAGGGATACATGCCCCTAAAGCACACTACTCCGCGAAGCCTTCTTTGTCTTCGCCAACTCGTCTTTCAAAATCGCCCTCCTCTCCCCAGACCGACTACCATCGCCATCAAAGTCCTCTTCATCCGACACAGCAGTCTCGGGCCATGTCCACATCTCCCTCAACTCGGAGTCAAGTGTACCTTCCAGCGCATCAACTATCTTGTCTCCAATAACAGGGAAGAACTTGAACCCATGGCCACTGCCGCCTGTAGCAAGGAAAAGACCTTCGTGTTCAGGATGATAAGAAACAATGAAGTCACCCGTGGGCCTATTGAACCAATTAGCACCAACCACAACCATCCAACTCGCAACTGGTAACCCAAGGACCAGACTCACGTATCAGTATACCAACAAACCCTTGTATCAACAAACTCCCTCTCCGCAAACCGCGGCAAAAGCTGCCTCAACGCAACCCGGAACGCATCCTGTCCCTCAAGAGGAACAGGAACCCCCTGTTCGGGCAGACTAACCACCATCGAGCCTGAAGCCTCAGCACCAGGAACCGGCACCTCCACCGGGTTGCGATACCCATACGCATGCCGCGCAATCTTAAGTAGATTATCCCGGGGCGGAATAATAAAGATTCCCGTAGCGAAGTTCAAGATCGTAGGCAAATTCTCCAGCTCTCGCTGCTCCTCGTCAGAGATCCGCATATAGGCAATCGCCTGTCCGGTCGCAACAGCCCGACCACGCAAGTCCACAAGCTTCGACGTCCACGCGCCAGTCGCTAGCACAACGAGATCCGCCTCGAGAATCGAACCATCTGCCAAGACGACACCGGTAGCTTTAGGCTTCGCGCCGTTCGTGTCGTACAGCACACGCTCGGCATCACCAGTACGGAAGCTAACCTTGCCCTCAATGTCGAGGAGGGTCTTAGCGTATTGCACGCTGGCCGCAGCATCGGACCATCCAGATCCCCAATTCACGTAGCCGCCGGCGACATCGAGAGTCGCGCCGTAGGCCGGGACGACGCTGAGGACGTCGGCTTGGGTCGGCAGGAAGGTGACGTTATCGCCCTCGATCTGGCGCACGTTGGCGTAGCTCTTACGTGCGTACTCCTTGGCGCTGGCACTATCTTCTGGATACACGAGTAGTAGACCGTTCTGCGTGTAGCGACCATCACGGCCCCAGTCTGTGTTCCGCCATCGGTCAATGGCTGCTGCCGCGAGTTTGGAGTATGCTGCGTTGGCATAGTCGGCTCGCACGATCCGTGATGTGTCGACGGATGAACCGTGCGGGTTTGGGATTGTTGATGAGGATTCTACTACTGTTACTTTTGATTCTGGGTGTCGCTTTGACAGGGAGAGGGCGGTGGATACTGGGGAAATGTCAGTAAGTGGAAATGTAATGTGTGGTGTGACTTGTGTAGATCAGTGATAGGGCTTTTAGAATTGTTGACTCACATCCAAACACACCCCCTCCTACAATCAGAATCTTGGGCGGCAATGCCATTTGTAAAAATATGTGTGTGGGTGAATACTTGAATTGGAGATCCGGGGGATTTCTCCAATTGATAACAAGTCGAGCCGATAACGGCATCGGTCGTCGGCTTCTGTACCCGACTTTTCTTCATCGTTGGGGTCGATATCGTTACTCCAATCTATACCGAATGAGATGTGCAACTGATCTCGGGACTTCATTTTAATCAATTCGGTTTATCTTTATTGGAGCCTCCATCTCATTTTGGTACCGTGGGGGCTGACAACCCTGTCGCGTAAGCACTCAATCTTCGCTCGCGTCAAACCTCTGCACAAAATTCCCTTGGCAGTCCATTCTGCTAGTTCAAAACACCATAATGAACGTAAGTCATTTACGCAGAGTGCCATTAGTTGCAAAGTGGCCCGTCACACCCTGCCGCAGCGCATCAAGCAAGGCCCCTCGACCCCCAAAGCCGAGGTATGTAACCAAAATCCTTCAATCCAAAGCCCAAACTAACATCCCCCAGTCCCAAAATCCCCAAACCAGTGGCCATAAAACGGCGACAAGTAACCCCGCATCGCCAACCCTACCAAGAGCGCCCAATCCCACAGGGCACTCAAGGCGAAGGCCTCAGCGCTGAAACCACGGCGAAACCAGGCCATGGAATCCCACCCAGAGCCCTAACCTTCCTGGGAATCACAGCACTCACCATCAGCACGTACTGCGGCTACTTGTACGCGTCTTACACGCGCGAAGTAAGCAAAGCCCAAACTCTGGACGTGCCACGCGATGTCTCAGACCGCTACAACACGACAGCGGCAACCTTCGACGCAGACGTCGAGCTCTCCGAAAAGGCAATGGGTCTCGGCAAGAAGCGACGAGATCTAGTCCGACAAGCGCGTGGGAACGTGCTAGAAGTCAGCTGCGGCACGGGGCGCAATCTGCGGTTCTATGAGCTCGGCGAGCGTCGTGGGTTAGATGCCGATGGCCATGCTACGGTTTTGGGGTGTCGATCGGTTACGTTTGTTGATCTTAGCCCGCAGATGGTGGCTATTACGAAGGAGAAGTTTGAGAAATTGTATCCTACGTTCCCGGCGACATTCCGGGCTTGTGATGCGGGTAAGGTTGAGACATCTGATATCCAGCCTTCTGGGGTGAAGACGAAGGAGGGACTGGTTTACTTTGATACTATTGTGCAGACTATGGGTCTTTGCTCGATGCCGGATCCGGCTGCTACGCTGAGACATCTGGGGTCTGTTACCAAGCCTGGGAGTGGGCGGATTTTGTTGCTCGAGCATGGGCGTTCTTATTATGATTGGGTTAATCGGATTTTGGATAATCTTGCTCCGGCTCATGCGGATCGGCATGGTTGTTGGTGGAACCGCGATATTGGGGATATTGTGCGTGAGAGTGGGTTGGAGATTGTGGAGGAGAAGCGTTGGCATCTGGGGACTACGTGGCGTTATGTGTTGAAACCGAAGCAGAGCACGGAGAAGTCTCAGTCTTGATCTCGTGGCTTTGGCTGAAGCCTCTTTTGGATGTAATATATTTTGGAGATGTGTATGAGTATTTGGCGTGATAGACATCTTAGTACAATCATGATATAAATGGGATTCAAATATAGAATATAAAACATGCTCAGTTTGTTCTATATATCATAACATGATAAGCCCTAGTGATTGGCATGATGTTATCTTAGAAACTGGCCTATACGTCCACATTAATACTTTCGTCCTGCCTTTTTAGTAACGATACCTGAAGCCTGGTGTCTTCCAGTCAGTGATATCCTCATAGTCGTCCGATACCAACTGCACTCGGTTCACCATATCCGCCACATTTGTCGAATCGCGATCCTCATCCAGCCCCTTCCCACCAATAGCACCCGCATTTCCAGCACTTCCCTCAAAGCCCTCTAGACGAGTACGGCGAGCATTAGTCCACTGCAAGTAGAAACGCAGAATCAACGCCAAGAGGACGGCGAGGGCATAGCAAATCATGATTGTTCGGAAAGCAGTGTTGTAAGTCGGCGCCTCCTCACTGAGGAAGAACTGAGGCCCAGAGATGTTTCCAGCACAGTAAGCCAGGAAGAGCATTGCAGTGACAGTCATTTTCTTAGTGACTCCACGGTAATTGGCCTGCACCAGCGACATAGCAAGCGGCATTGCTGCAGGTCCAGTCGACAAGAGGAAATATCCAAAGAATTGCACCCCGAGGACGATATGCGCACGGGAGTAGATGATCGCACTGCCGATGACGCAAGGGAGGACAACAGCCACGATAAGCAAGCAGTTCAATTGGCGGAAACGACCAGCCAGCCAGCCCGTTCCGGTGATTGTAGCCACGGTGATGAGCGAGTAAGGGATGGTGAGCAGCGTCGATTGCAGGTTTGTGAACCCAAAGGAGACAATCACCAGATTGGCAAAGTTCTGTGTTCCTCCGTTGGGAATCTGGGTGCAAAGCTCCAGTCCGAATATAAGCCACGTCTTGGGATCCATCAGGCATTCGACGACCTGGTCCCATCTCCAAGCGGTCTCCTCCGTTGCGCCTGTGCCTGCAATGACAGCTCTGTTGCTTGCGAACTGGCGTTCCTCTTCTGTTAGAAATTTGGCCTTGGAGATTGAGTCTGGGAGTAGAGTCCAGATAGCAAATCCCCAAAGGAATGTCGCACAGCCGAGGACGAGGAACATCCACCTCCAAGGTCCAACTTTATCTTTGACGTGACCTAGCCCATAAGCAAGGAGACTGGAAACAATACCGCCGACACTCTGTAGAAGGATGAGCTTTTACCCAAAATATCGATAGGGAACAACGTACGTTTCCTGCAAACCACAGGCCTGTCCTGGTAGGAATCTCGTCACGCGTGTACCACGTCGAAGTGATAAACATAAATGCCGGTGTAATTGTTGCTTCAGCGACTCCAAGCAAGAAGCGAACTGTAATGAGACCACCAAAATTGGTACAGGCTGCAGTGAGAGCCACTACAGCACCCCAGAATAGAGTGTTGGCAGTCAAGTATTTGGCGGCGGGCAGACGAGCAATGAGCAAAGTTGTTGGATATACCCATCCCAGGTAACCAAAGTAGAAGATTGATGATACCCAGCTGTACTGCTGGCCAACCAAACCCTAGAAATGATCTTAGTTATGGTTCTTGTTTTTCTCTCGACATGTCCCTACAGTATCGTGCCTCATCCCGAAGACCGACGCGCTCGACAAGATGGTTTTATCCATGAAATTTAACATATATGTTGCGAAAAGCAGTGGTATAAGTCGTCTGTCAATCTTCCTCAATACTCTTTTCGCCATAGCATGGTCCATCCCCTGCTCTGCTGCGGGAGTGTTTGTGTCCATGGCCATTGCTAGTGAAAAGGAAAGAAACAGCTGAGAATGTCAATTTGAACTCTTATTTACAGAGTCATATGCCTGTTATCTTTCCCCGCATCTCTCTTATTGGTGCAACCCCTGCACCTTATCGCTGATTCAGGAATCCTTCAAGCGCCGATTGGATGAGAATGAAGCCCAGTCTTTTAGGGCTGGGGCTAGTAATCCAGCCGTATTTAGTAAGGAGTACTGTCTCGTGTCTCGTGTCTTGTGTCTCGGAGTCTTCTTCTACTCCGGACCCCAACTCTGGTTCTTGATATTTTCAACAAGTTCTACCTATTGAAAACTAAACTTGTATTTTATTTGGAATAAAGCGGTGAAACTTCGGACAGTAAACATGAACGGCCTCACAATCACCCCGTTCATAGCCAATCTCCCCAAGGTCGAACTCCACGTTCACATCGAAGGAACCTTAACACCCTCTCTCCGCTGGGAACTGGCTCACCGGAACAAAGTCTCCCTCCCATACGCTACTTTCTCAGACCTGCAAGCCTCCTATGCAGTAACCCTCAATCACAGACCCGAGCTAAATGGCCGCCAACCAGGCATCCCAACCTTCCTGGAAGCCTATTTTGCCGGGTGCAAAGTTCTCCGCACAGAAACCGACTTCTATGATTTAGCCATGGCCTACCTGCGCCGGTGCGCGGTCATGAATGTGCGCTACACTGAACCCTTCTTCGACATCCAGGCACACACACGCCGCGGAATCCCCGCAGCAGCCGTTATGGACGGGTATATGCGCGCGCAACACGATGCCGCTGTGCAGCTGGGTGTGCATTCGCGCTGGATCTTGTGCTTCTTGCGTGACGAGCCTGTCGGGCAGGGTCTGGATGCTTACCGTGAGGCGAGACCGTGGGCTGCTGGGACTGTTGAGGGTGGGAAGGGCTTGTTTCATGCTGTTGGGTTGGCGAGTAATGCGTACGAGAGGCCGCCGATGCTTTTTGAGGAGGGGTTTGCGTTGGCGCGTGCGGATGGCTTGCATGTTACTATGCACTGTGATTTTGGACAGAAAGATACGCGGGAGCATGTTACTGAAGCTATTTTTGAGGTTTGTGCGGGTAGAGGAGCGGAGAGGATTGATCATGGGTTGGATGCGGAGGACTCTGAGGAGTTGTGGCGTGGGTTGGTTGATAGGGGGATTGGGTTGACTTTGTGTCCGCATGCTTACCATCGGAGGACGGCGACTGAGGTTTTGTTTCCGAAGATTCGGAGGTTGGTGGAGAGGGGGGTGAAGATTTGTATTAATAGTGATGATCCGACTTTGATGCATGATGTTTGGATTGATGGGAACTTGCAAAAGGTCTATACTTATTGCGGGTTTAGTCGGGGGAGATGGTGCAGCTTGCAAGGAATGCGGTGGATATGTGTTGGGCTGAGGAAGATATCAAAAGGGCTATCTATCAGGAACTAGATGGTGTTGATATTTGTGAATAAAGGCTTGTCTGGGGTTATTTGAAAGCTCTTCTCTCGATACGGATATTATGAACAGTCTACTGTTTCACGCAGATAAAGCATGTATCTTCGTATATATATTGTAGTTATACGGTTGATAATATATTAATTTGGATTTAATAACTGCTACCATGACCCCAGGGCATAGGCATGATTTGCTATATCCACTAGTATGATAGGCCAGAGCAATTTCTACTTCCGGTATGACCTTACCCTTTGAAATGCTATTGTGGACTTACAAGCATCCAAAATCAGGGTTTCCCATATCAATATCTGTACGAAGCAACTATGATATACCCTGGCAAATCCCGGGAGGAGATGCCTAAAGAGAATAGTTCCGATATTAGGTGGCTGCAACAATGCTCCCTGGCTGGCTGTCACCATTCTCAGCCAACTTATACAGAGGATAAGAGTTTCGAGGATTTAGGGTAACTGGGGGTATTTTGAAGATTTCCCCTCGGACGATTCTATATATTCCCAAATTACTACATGTTTCCATAGCCTAACTACATAGAGGCGGCTAGGCGATACTATTGGGGAATATATATCCAGCGATGATCAGATGTCTGTCAATGACAGCTTATATATTCAATACACGATGCGCAGTTTGAGTCCTCATTAAGCCTAGGTCTGGGCACGTCCTGGGTGCTGATTGAGCTTCCATAAACAAAAAGTATCTAACCACCCTGTGCTGTGAAATACCCAGCGAGCAGAACACCCCTCATCAAGCGGCAGCACCCCGATTGGGAAAGTCGCGATGGCCTAGAATCCGGTACATAGAGCGACACAATATATATGTTCACTAATAGCCACTCGGCACTTTTTTCCACGGGTGATATTGGTTGATGATAGTGTCAATTCTGGCCCGCATTAAAAACGGGCTTTGCTACCAATCTCCATCATCGATTTATATGCAAGGTGCAGATCTTTTGCAGGGGGTCATTCCGTGTCTTGGATGCATCTTTTCTTTGTTTGATGCAATGGTCCCCGGGGATTGGTTCTGATGTGGCGGGGAATTCGGAACCAAGGATAATGGCTTTAAGTAAGGTTTGGATATTTGATGCATCAGTTATCGAGACGGACTTTCATTGGCACAGACTTGGATGTGTTCTGTTTATGTTGTAGATTGGAGGTAACTATCTGGTATCTATTTGTTAAACAGGGTTACTACATCGAGATAATATATATTGTAGGATAAACCCTCATTTACAATATATATAATTTGTAGACATACTACATACTACATAGTAATATAAATATATAGAGTTAGAAGACGGACATTATGTAGTACTGTACAAAGTAGTATCTGCGGTTGTGGAGATGCGGGGAATTCCTATGCACCTGCATACTGTATGTAGGTACAGTCTGTATGATACATATGTATTCTCAATATTCAAATTGGATGCGATCAGATAAACTTGAGCTAAAGCAATTGTTTCCCTTCGGCCGGTGTAACAATGGGCACTACTATTCCTATGGTTGACGGGTCCCGATCCCCTAGGCCGAAGTGGTCGATGTCATGCAAACGGAGATCAACAAAGCATAAATGCGACACTATCAGTAGAACTCTTTTATGATATACAACATACAGATCGCAGGGGTTAATTCAAGGAATGATGGATGTTTCTCTTAATACAGAGTAGACCTGCGTCACATCTGGGCAGCAATGCTTGTACCTGATACTACGTAAATCCCTTGCTGGATGTCTGTGCTGAAGGAGAGATATGGGCAATGATGTACACGAGTAGTTTGATAAACAATGATATCGTGGATATGGGTTGAGAGGAGAAGGATGTCATCATATGCACGTAGGAATATATATACGGAGTACATATAGAAAGGTCTTATATTAATGTTTCCCCGATGGCATCACCACTTTTTTTTTTAATAGAGGCAACTACGGTAAATTTAGCTTTTAGATATTTAAAATGTTTAAAAAGAAAGTATAGATCTCAAGTTATACTATACATCAAAGCTGAAAGTGAGATTGGATATATAACTATTGTAGAAGAAAAACAAGGTGTCTCAGGTTGCTGCATCATCAGTGGCAAACGTTCCTTTTCTCCCCGAGACGCTAATGTGAGCATCCCTTACTAGCGTCATGTACAATACGATACACCGACTCTGATTGATCGTTATCCCGTCGATTGGGTCCCTGAGACCCACGAAAGAGTGGAAAGTGGACTTTAAGTGGCCACTTCATATTTTCTTTTTTTTCTTTTTCTGTTTGTAAACGGTTACGCTAGGGAGTTGTTTTGGGTCTCGGTGTTTCCGACCGGAGGGCTCGGCTTAAGCCTTGTTAACTTTTGTTTTTTGTTTTTCTGGTCAACACTAGTGAGATGTTCATGATACTGGATTGGATGTCGTGTGTGTAGATGCTTAGTTAGTTTACCTGCATATTTAGTTCGTTGGATACAAAGTAACCTTGAAAATTAATATATTTTGATCTATCAACAGCGGTGTGTGCCTTGGGTCCCCTAGCAACCAACAGGTGACAGATCGAATACATAATCTATGTTTTGTACTGTCCAAATTACATATCCCATGCAGAAAGGAAGGCTTCGACTCCGACAAACCATTATGCCGACAGACATCCACCGTGCAACTGCCAATCACTGGATCGCGAGGTGATATTATTATTCAAAGAATCGGGATGTGATTAGTGGAATCTGATGTATGTGGGATCAAGTAACCACTGAAGTTGTTGGATAAATGGAGACGCCAAGGTTGATGGAGCACCAAAATTGGACCTAGTCGGGTCATAGAACACATGGTCAACTCCACCCCAACTCTTTCGGTATGAACTAAAACCCAAGATAGAATGGGTAGAACTATGGATTATCATACTAAGGCCTGAAGAGGAATGGGTTGATCTCCACCGCCTAGGAATTGTTCACTTTTTTGCCTGTGCGTGTCGGAGTGTCGCATGCTGGATTCTTGTGGTTTTAACATGGCGGTGAGAAGGAGCCTATAGTATATCGAAGCTAATGTGAGATTTATCTACAAAGTACGGAGTACAACATACGGAGAGTACTTGGGTACTTAAAAGAAAGTACAATATACAGATAACTAACTACATTCTGTACCTCGTATGTACATTCTTAAAGGGTAATAGAACCAGGAAAAATAAAAACAAGCCCCAGTCCAACCAATCATCGTCATAATAATTCGGGAGGCTGCCAAATTTAAGATAAATACCATACTGTAAATTACCAACTTCAAATTTTTCAATTTTCCACTTTTTTTTTTTTTTTTTCTCCCGCAGATTCCTCAGGCCCCCGTTGATAATTTGCCATCCAAACAGCTCGTCCTGTCGTCCTTGTCGCATCTTGATGATCCCCCCCGTTTATCCTTCTTCATCCCCCTTTCTACTAACATCCCCCATATCTTAGAATCCTTCTTTCTTTTTTATTATTATTATTCTTACTTATTATTCTGTTTATTATTATATCCTTTTGCTTCTTTTCTATTATATCCTCATCTTTGTGTGCTTTACTCCCCTTTGATTCTTGTTTCTTGTCTTCTCTCCGGTTACTTCCCACACAATGCCGTACAACACTCGTCGCAAGTCACTATCCCTTCCATCCTTGGGTATTCAGCTCCCAAATTCCACTCGTCGTTCTCCCTCTATTTCAAAAGTGCATACCGATGAACAACCCACAAAAAAAGTCAAGAGATCGCACGGTTCGACTTCATTATCGCCCGAGCCATCTGACCCAAAATTCATTGCGCGCGCTAGCCGACATGGACTATTGGAGATTACACCACCTCCCTCGCCGATGGATGGAGTGCTTGCGCCCAAGATCGACACAGAAGGAATCAACGACGACATTGTTATCGCTGTAATCAACCAACTCGAGAAGACGGGGAATCGCCCTCACCTTGTGAAAGAACTGGCCGCAGTTCTGGTTACACTAAATGTCAATGTCGCAAAGTATGTATCCCACTCGGGCCTTTCTTTGAAACACAATCACTGACATGTCCTCTCTATAGTTCCGCTAATCCCGCCGCGCTGCTTTCATCGCGGTTAGCTGCCTATATGAAGCGTCCTTGGACGGCTCTCGCGCCTTGTCCTATGGCCAAGGAGCTTATTTTAATTCACCCGCGCAAAGTGTACTACTATCTTACTACGTTTCCCCACCAACCTATTCCTGAGACCGATGATCTGGTATCTGCCGTGGGTAGCAAGAACATCACGCCCAGTGTTTCCAGTCTCGAGGATGAGGAAGACGCGATGGTGCGGGAACGTAGCCCTAGTCCCGAAGTGGACTTGTCTTCTCCCGACTTCGAGGAGCATGGCGATTTGAATACCTCCGCTAGCCATGGCGGTTCTTCCGATCACTTCCCCAACGCTAGTAATTTGACGCGTCTCATGAACTCGCACCGTGCGGCTTCTCCGCCCCTGGAGGGTGATGAGAAGGAATTCACACAAACTGCTAGCGCTGTGCGTGAGCGTGCTTCTGAGGAAAAAGCCGAGTCGACCCGTAGCCAGTCCATCCTTTCCGAGAGCCTGAGTGCCTCGGAGGACCGCGATATGAGCATCTCTGAATCGCCTGTGAATGGTGGTTCGATATCTCCGTCTATGCACGGTGATGGCATGTCCGAAGAAGAGTATAGTGACTACTTCTCGCACATGCCCGTCGACCAAATGGCTCAGGACCTGGACGAGGCTGCCGCGACTGCCCTGTTCGGCACCTCTCCCTCCCCCTCTCTCACCTCCATCGCATCGTCTGTCTCGTCTGGCACGAGCGCTTTGACAGATCTCGGTCCGGACGGTGAGGAGCTTGCCGGCGCTCTCGTTGCCCCCCAGATTAGCCTTCCCGAAGACCCCGATGCCGCTCCTGTCTCGACCCTCAAGCGCTCGCTTGACATGTTGAACAGCGGCCTTCCGGATGTCGATTTGAAAATGTCGGACCTGACGGAGTCGCACGAGAGGCTCACCCTTACCCCTCGGGCCAACAAATCGGAGCACGTCTTTGAAT